GATCGCACCGTTACATTTACTTGCAATGCTCCTGGCCTCTGGCTGCTTCCCCTGGAATATCCTTCCCTTTCTCTGCCTGGCAACTCCTACTCATCCATTAATGCCCTGCTCATAGACCACCTTCTCCTTGAAGCCTTTCTAACTCTCCCACCTGCTTTCCCACCCTTGGCAGAACAAATCCCTCTCATGGTTGTCCTCTTTGGTTCTTCACTCAGTTCCCTGTCACTGGCTGAGCCTTGTCCACGCTGGCCTGGGATAAAGAAAGTTTAGAATTGGTTCTTTGTTTCGCCCAAGTTATCTGTTCCCTGAGGGCTGGGCCCAGCCTCGGCCTCCTGTGTCCTCTCTGGTCCAGCACAGCCCTAGGCACAGGGCAGATGCAATTGGGTTTTCAGAATGAGTAATGACAAGGTGCCTTGAAGGCGTGGGAAGTGTGACGATGGCCTCTGCTGACTCCACAACTTATTCCCTAGGCCAAATGACAGCTGGGGAGCTGGGACACTCCCAGAGGCCTCTGAGAGGAAATGCCTGGCTGGTTCCTGCTAGGACAGGGCTGTCACCACACTGGAAACCCCCCATGGCCCTGGGCCTGAGGCCAAAATCCAGACCCAAAGGAAAGTCCCCCCAGCAAGGCCCTGCCACCCAACATCCAAGGAAGGTCCCAGGCAGAGGAGAGGGTCACTCTGAAGGTGACCCCTCATCTCCAATCCCAGCCTCTGATGGGTCAGAGCTCCCTGAGGGCGGATGGAGAGCAAGGAGGGCAGGGCTGGAGTCGGCAGCAGTCCAGGGCAGGAAGGAAACAAGAAACAATCAAGGAAAAATCCAGCCCGGGTCTGGGGTTGGCTCAGGCCACGCACGGGTCCCTGCTGGCCGGGCTCAGGCTGGGATGAGCTCGTTCCCAGCTCTCTGCCGCCCTGCGGCCCAGCTGGTGGAGCTGGGGCACCTCCAGAGACCCCATTCTTTTCTTAGTGCCATGCTAGACACACCCCAAGAGGATGACAACCCTTCCCTTGCGACTCCATTCCCAGATCCCTGGTCCTGTCATTCTACCTGCCTCCCAGGGTCCTAGGTCCCAGGTGGCAGGGCCATGGAGAGCTGGCATCAGTCTTGCAGAACATTGGGGGGAGCTTCCCTGCTGGTCTGTCCAGTCTGGCTAGCCCTTCCAACTCCATCCCCCAGGGTCCTTGGGGGACTGTGGCCGCTGACGAAGGCCATTTCCAGGAAGAAAAAGCTGGGAGGGGAAGGAAGGGCTGAGTCAGTCCCCATGAGGTAATCACAGTGGGGGCAGGTAGCCAGGGGCTGGTGGAGGAGGGACCTACTGGGCCCATCTTAGGGCCAGTAAAAGGCTCTGGGCCGATGGGAAGGAAGCTGAACACCCCACTCTGGGAGTTTCTCCATCGTGGCCTGCTCCGCCCTCCCAAATGCTCTCAGCCACCAGGGTGTCCAGGAGTCCTTCCATGGGCCATAGTCCTGGCCCTGGCTGAGACATCAGACCATGTGCATGGGTCCAAGCTTGGGCGGGGGACTTGGCCTGAGTGTCTCCTGAGTCAGGAATGCAGGCCACCCTGCCGTCCCCTGAACTCAGGCCATCCCCGCCTCTCCTCCCACACCCGGGCCCGTACACACAGCCTGAGAAGTTGCGCAAAAAAAGCCAATTTTAGTAAATGAAATCCTGTTTTATAAATGCTTATTAATGACACAGCTCCCATGGCAATGCTGGGTGTGTACACAAAGGTCCTATCCATTCAGCAGAACCTCCCCAGGGATTCTGTGGGCCCAGCCAAGTGACGACCACATCTGTGAATGGGGACAAGGAAGCGTCCTTCCTGAGCGCTTGCAAAGGGCAGAACCCGATCACTCCTGAGACGTGGGCTTGGACCAGGCCCGTGCTCTGGGTGACAGCAGGAGTGGACCAAGCAGCAAGGGAGCCGGTACTGAGCAGAACCTTGTCACATCCAGGTGGGCTTCAAACAGTCCCCAGGGCGCAGATGGTAGTTCCAGTCCTGGCTTGGAGCCAGCCTGGCAGCCAGGCTGAGGGAAGAGAGCAGGGGCTTGGGCCAGGCTCAGAGCTAGGCTCTGCTGCTCCCTATCCTTCCCCCAGAGACCCCCCCATAACCCTCCCCCCAACCTCTTCGAAGAGCTGTGGAGTTCTTGGTTCCCAGCTGTGCGTGGCCTTGGGTGAGTGCCTCTATCTTCCATCCCTGTAACTTTCTGTTTTGTCACCAGCTCTGAATGGAGCCCCAGACCCTTCCCCGCCCCCCACCCGAGGGAGGACCCCCAACAGATGGGCAGGGGGTGGGGGCTTCACCTCAGTCTCAGTCCTGCAGGCTCAGGTGGCTTCATCATTAAGGTCTTTATACCAAGGCCGCGAGGCCAGCCCGCCGTGCGCCAAAGCTCCTGTTACATATAATGCTTCCACGAAACTGTGCCACCCAAGGGGTTGTGTGTTCTTGCAAGTCCTTTCTCTTGCTTGGAATTCGCATTAGCTGATGCTACTGTCCGATCTCACAGGTGAGGAGGCTCAGAAAGCGAAAGTCTTTTGCCTGTGCCACAGGCCAAGTCAGCGTGGCAGAATCAGCTCAGAACCTGGTCAATAGTTCAGAGGCCAATGCTCAGGGCACTGGGCTGTCCCTCCTCTCTGAGCTCTGCATCACTGGGGAGAGGAATGGCAGAGGGTGAGAAGCCTGAGGAGGAGGGCCCAGAGTCCACATGTCTTGCCACCTCCAGGCTGAACAAATCATTGTCAGTGCCCTGAGCTTCAGTTTCTGTCTCTAAAATGCGGATAATGACTTGGGCCCTGGCCACCCCACCAGGCCCTCAGAAGGATTTGAGGAGTTCAGGGACAAGAGACTATTGGTAAAGGGCCCTGGGTGGGTGGGTGCCTGGCAAAGCCCAGGTGGCAAGAAGGGGGAGCCACACCCTTTACCCACCCACACCAAGACTTGGCCCAGGGCCGCCATCCCCACTTCCTCAACTGTCCAGGTCCCAGTCTTCCCCCAAGCCACGAGGCTGGTCCCAGCACAATCCAGCTGGCCGACCCTCCCTGCGGAGCTGAGGGAGAGTGGGCAGGCTCAAGGTTAAAACCTGAAACTTCCCGGTATTCATTTTCTACTGCTGCCGGAACGCATGATCGCATACTTGGTGGCTGAAAACAATACAAATTAATTATCTTACAGTTCTGTAGCTTAGAAGTCCAACATGGGTTTTGCTGGGCTAAGACCAAGGTGTCAGCAGACTGTGTTCCTTCTTGAGGCTCTAGGGACACTCCATGTCTTTGCCTTCTCCAGCTTCTCGAGGCTGCATGAATCGCTTGGTTTGTGGCCCCTTCCTCTATCTTCAAAGGCAGCGGCACAGCATCTCTCTGGCCCTTCTTCACTGTCACATCTCTTCCTCTGACTGTCCTCTTCTGTCTCCCTCTTCTACTTTTAAGGACCCTTGTTATTACACTGGGATAATTATCCAGATAATTCAGGATAATCTATTTTAAAGTCAGATAATTAACAACCATTATTCCATCAGCAACTTTTTTTTTTTTTAAACAGAGTCTCACTCTGTTGCCCTCAGTAGAGTGCCGTGGCATCGGCCTAGCTCACAGCAACCTCCACCTCCTGGGTTCAAGCGATCCTCCTGCCTCAGCCTCCTGTGTAGCTGGGACCACGGGTTTGACCCACGACGCCCAGCTAATTTTTCTAATTTTAGTACAGACAAGGTCTCGCTCTTACTCAGGCTAGTCTCGAACTCTTAAGCTCAAGCAATCCTCCTGCTTCAGCCTCCCAGAGTGCTAGAACTACAGGTATGAGCCACCACACCTGGCCATTGGCAGCCTTAATTCCCCTTCCCCACGTGACAGAACATGTTCACAGGTTCTGGAGATTAGGATGTGGACATCTTTAGGGGGCTGTTATCCCACCTACCATCGTCGTCTTCTTCCCATCCTCCCTTCCCTCTTGGCTTGGCTGACATCTCCCCCACCCCCAGTACCCTTCCCTCCTTCCCAAGGTCTTCCTGGCCCTGCCTCCCTAAGGGCCCCACGTTTACAGTACCACAAGCCAACCATTCTGGTCACACTAAACTGTCACACTGTCATTCTCTAGAAAGCAAGGTCCCTCCCCCACTCTACCTGTTCCTTTTCCTCACTCTTCTTAGCACTCACCCACCTGGAAGTGTATCATAGTGCACTTGGGAACTTGGATTCCCTCCATTTCCCTTCTTTGGGCTGTAGGTCCCAATCCAGACGGGGCTGATCCCCAGTGACAAAAACAGAGCTTGGCACTTAGTAGATACTCAGGAAATATCTGTTGACTCACGGAATGGAGCAAGGACAAAGTTTCCTTCAGTTTGTCTCCAGCACCCTATGCAGTGCCTACCCTGCAATAAATGTTTCTGGTACCATAAGCATGACCGACTAGCTGAATGAACGAATGAACGAACAAGTCTGAGTCTGAACCCCACCCCCGCTCTGGAAGCCCGACAGCAGTGCCCAGGCAATGCTTCCCCCTCTCCCTCTCAATACCCTCTTTTCTAGGGGACGGTAAATTCATCAAAACGCTCGTAAGTTTGTTATATTTTAACGTAGGCGTCTCCAAGGCCTCATTCATTCCCTTAGTCACTGAATACACTTGTGCGGGCGCCTCCCTCGACCCAGCCCTGCAGGGAGGGAACGGTCCAAGGACGCTCTGCGAATTCTGAAGAATTCGGTCTTCCGTCTGCCGCTCCCCCAGCCTTTCTAGAACCGAGGGCGTGAACTCCGACAGGCATAGCCGGAGTCCTCAGAGTCCACCCCGGGAACCCGATGCCGCCGGGCCCGCAGCCGCCGGAGCCAGGACAGAACCACCGCGAGGCGCGTCTCGCAAGGGGGAGCGCTGGGCCGTGCCCGGAGTGGGGCGGGGCTGTGGGCGGGGCCTGTATGGAGCGGCCCCGGCATTGGCTCTGCGGACCGGGGGCGGGGCTTCAGGGCCCAAGGTCCGCTCCGTAAGTTCACAGCCCGGGTCGGGTCCCACCGCCACACCGTCCAGCTCAGGAGCTTTTGCCGCCCGCGGGTCGCCGTCGCGCGCCTCACGGTGAGTTCGGGCCGGGATTCTGCAGCCCGTCTGCGGCTCCACGGGCCCCACCACCCCGAGAGGCCCATCTCTGTGGCGCCTCGCCCCAGCTCGCGCCCATCCCACCTCTGCTCAGGTCCTTTTGCGGGCGCCTCGGGCTCCGTGAGGTTTCCCGCCCGCGCCTCGATCCCCGCAGCCCCACCCGTGCCCCTACGGCCGTGGGGCGCCGCGCATCCCGACCCGAATTCCCCGCTCCGCTCTCCATTCTGTCTCGAGCCCCCGCTCCCCGCCCGGGACGCAGGAGCACTATCCCGCTGCCCAGTGTCCCCGTTGGGGCTGGGGGCCGTATTTTCAGCCGATGGTGAGGTGTCCTCCTATCTTTAGCTGCGGCGGCGGGCTGGGCTGGGCTGTGCCCGGGTAGGGGGCGGGGAGGGGTCGGCGCCGGAACCCGAGCCGGGCTGAGGAGCCAGACCCGTGGGAGGGGCGGGGGCCTGCACGCCGGAGCGCTGGCCCCGCGCCGAGAGGACACTCGGACATCGCCCAGGCCGGAAGGCACAGGGGAGGCTCCTCCCAGAGCTCCCTGGTCGCCCCCTTTTCCCTATTTGTCTGATGGCGGGACCAGAAACCCAGAAGGGAAAAAGATCCCGCAAACAATCCCCATATGGTACTCGATCGCGCAGCTCCTTGAGGGGCGCCTGCCTGGAGCCAGAGGCGCGCTGGAGACCCCGGTGCGCTCTCGGACTCCTCCGGGACGCGGGGGCGATCGCAGGAGCTCGCGCCACCTAGCGGCTGCGGAGCTGCTCGCTGCTCTGCACGGGGACCCTGGGAGACCCCGGGGCCGGCCAGGGGTACTCCGCGCTGGCCACGTCGGAGAGGACGGGAGGAGGCGGATGCCTAGGGCCAGAGGCAGGTCTTGTTTTTGGTCTTGTTCAAGCAGTGTCCCCGGAGAACCAAAGTGATTGAGGAAGGCCTTGCAGATATTTGCTAAATGAATGACAGGACTGACAGTGACCCACAGACCCCGTCTATTGTACATTGGCGCTCTCACTTGCAACATAGCAGTGGGGTCTCCAGCAGCCCTCTGGTAGTGGTTTATTGTCAGCCCATTTTATAGATGGGGAAGGTGAGACCCACAGAGGAGAGGCGTCTTGCCCAAGGTCACAGAGCGAATTCCAAGTAGAGCTGGATTTAAGGTTGGTCTCCTGATTTCAAAGTCAGGGGGCTACTCCTTGAACATCCGTAATAGCGGGTGGCCTAATATTCTTCACGACAGGAGGGGCTTTGCCTCCTGCAAGTCATTTTCTCTAAGGAAGGCCCAGAGCCCCTGTCCAGGGCTAGCCCAGAGAGCCTGGTTGGCCCCATCTGCTTCCCCACTGCTGCAGGGAGCCATCTCTCCCAGCCCCCCACAACCTTGTCCCGATGGAGAGCTCATTCTCATATCTCTGGACACGTGCAAGTTGGTCGGGGGAGGGGAGCCAAAGGGAAGGACTTAGGTGCAGAAGGCCTGGGGACCTGGACGCCCCAGCCTAGCTGGGAGCCTATTTTTGTCCGGCTTGCCCCCTATCCGGGTTACAGAAGTGGGCATGGCCCACTGCATTGGAGCTACATGGACCAGGCTGGGCAGCATTGCCCACTCTCCCTGTTACTAGCTGGATGACCTTGACATTTCTGAGGTTCACCTTGTGCCTCTGCAAAGGGCAGTAATGACCCCACCGTGCTGGGCCTGGGAACATTAAAATGAGAAACTGTGCGTGACAGGCAGAAGCCGAGGGTCTTGTGGCTGCCAGATCTGAATACTTGGGCCTTGATGGCTATAATTCCCAGCTCTCCTCTGGGCGGCTGATGCTGGCCCCACCCTCCATTCTCCCTACATCTGGAATTGGGCGGGTACATCTGGCTCAGAGTGAGACAGCTGTCAGGGACGCCCATATTGGTTTGTTGCAGAAACACTCTGGCTGTCTTGGCGCTCCTGTGCGAGGGGGTGGGGGGTGGAGGGAGGACCTGGCCCAGGCTCTGGGCAAGTCCCACCAGTCAGCCCCACTCTCCATGAGTTAAAGGGAGGAAAAAGTGACGCCAGGGCTTCTTACCCGACAAAGGACATATTGGATGTTTGTCAACATGCCCCCAGGCGTGGCATGGTGGACACAGGCTGAGTGAGTGATGGGGTTCCAAGACCTCGGGGCACCCATGTCTCCCCAGCCTCCCCCCAGCTCCTTCCAGCCTTAGCTGGAATTCCGCCACCGGAGAGTCATCCTTTGTTTCCTGTTAAGCTGCAGGTGCTCTGGGAGGAGAAGATGTCCAGCCTCTCTGGCTCAGCGTGACTGACCCGGGGTGTCCGGTCCTGGGGTGGGGCTTCCTGAGCAAGGGCCTGGGCTGGTGGTGGGCGGGGGGACGCAGTTGGGATTCTGCGGCTCCTGCATCCTCCTCCCTCCATCCTGTGCCCTCCCACCCAGCCCCCACATCCTCCCCCTCCCCCTGCCCAGGATGAAGAATGGGGCAGAAGAAGGCAGCAGCCTCCTCTGCTCAGCCCCTGGCCCGCCTGTGGAGGACAGTGGGAGACAGTGGGCTCACCTGGCTTCAGTCTTGGCCCTGCCCTTAATCACCGAGTGACCTTGGAGGAGTGTCTTTGTCTTTTTTTTTTTTTTTAGAAACAAGGTCTCACTCTGTCACCCAGGCTAAAGTGCAGTGACCTGATCTTACCTCACTGTCACCTAAAACTCCGGGGTTAAGCGATCCTCCTGCCTCAGCCTCCCAAGTAGCTGGGACAACAGGTGTGCGACACCACACCAAACTGATTTTTCTATTTTTTGTAGAGACAGGGTCTTGCTATTGCTCAGGCTGGTCTCGAACTCCTGAGCTCAAGTGATCCTCCCGCCTCGGCCTCCCAGAGTGCTGGGATTACAGGTGTGAGCCACCGCGCCAGCTTTGCCTTTTATGCTGATTCTACATTTGAGTTCAGGTGCATCCCCCACCCGCATCCCCACCCAGAGGGGGTGCCTACTCCATTTCCTTTTTCTGTTAAACTAAGATGACATCCCTTCATAGTGTATTCATTCTTTCACATTAAAAATAGTTTTATTTTTTCCTGGGTACATAAATAATATGTGCTTATAAATAATACATGCTTATTACTAAGAATTCAAGTTTGTAAAAGCCTGAACAAGAAAGGAAAAGTCAACCTGCAATTCCACCGCTTTGAGATAACCACCATTAACATTTGGGCCACTGTGCTTGCATATTTACATGTATCATACACGTATATCATGCGAAGCAATGGGACCAAATATTGCAAATCATTTTTATTGAGGACACTTTTCCTCTCCTATCAGTGACCCCATACCCCATCCTCGTCCTGCATCCCATTCAAGGTAGCCCATATGACAACCTAGTGCTGGCCTTCCACATTTCTCCTCTGCTGTTACATGGAATAGAATCCCACACAGGCCTGTACACGTATGTGCGTGTGTAGGTACATACGCATCTGTGGGAGGATGGAGGGGTAGTCGATGCCTTCAATAAATGGCATTGTCTATGCTACCCTTTTGCATTTTGCTTCTTTCTCTCTGTAAAGTCTTGTGGGAATCCCTCCAAAATGTCGGATACCTCTAATTTTCAAACGGGATTCATTGTAGGGTGGTTGTGTTGATGAATTGAGATGTTTGCAAAGAACTCGGAAGAATGCAGAGCGCCCTCCTCGCCCCCCCAAATATCTGTACTCTTCACGCCACCTTCTCTTTAGGTGCCAGGGAAGGGAGGAGGGCCAGAGACAATATTAGACCCAGCCCCTGCCCAAAAGGAGTTCCGAACCCGGAGGAGGAGAAAAGGGAAACTGAGGTGACCTCACCTCCAGTTGGGACTTGACTGGGCCAGATGGGAGGTGCGAGCCATTCAGCACCTTTGGCTGAACACCTGCCGTGTGTCTAGCCCCTTGCCAGGCCTGGGCAGGGAGAGACAGAGGTTACAAGCTCTCTGTCCTTGGTTGAGCGGGGAGTTGGGACCCCCACACAATTTGGCACTTACCATGTTGTGGGACACAATTGATGGCAACGGCGGCCGGGATAGGGAGTGAGTATCCAGATGAGGGTGATGAGCTCCATCTTGCCTGGGACCCAGGGCAAGAGACCAGAGCAGGGCTCTGTATGTGACTTTGGGCTTGTCACTCGGGTTCCTGGGCCTCAGTTTCCCCACATGTAAAGGGAGGGGCTTGGCGCCGGGGGTCCAGTCCCTAAGATGCAATGGGTCCATGCTTCTTCCAGTAGGGCTCCGCCCATAGGAGAGGGGCCCCCCTGGCTCCCGGGGCTGATGCAGGGGGCCCAGAGACAAGGCAGATGCTTTTGACTTTTGTCCTCCTGTCCCTGACTTGCGTGTACCCTTTGTGTTTCAGCTCCTCAGCCCCAGACCACGGAGAAATTCTCGGGGACAAGACCAAAGCGTGTTGCTGCCTACAAGAACCTCCCTTCTGTGGGGAGAAAGTGACTTTTGTTCTCTCAACCCTCTGACGTCATTGACCTTTAATCTTTCTTTTCCTAATTCCTTGAGCCAACTTTGTTCACGTCTACAGTCCAGTCTTGAGCCCTTTGGCAAGTTTTTGGTGTCTGAAAAGCACCCTCTGGAGCAAGTGTTTCTGGTTGAGGGTTTTGAGAGGAGGCTGTGGTCTCAGCAGGTGACCTGTCTTGGGCCTTGCAGCCAGGCCAGCCAGGTGAGGTCACCATGTCCACCAAGGTGCCCATCTATCTGAAGCGTGGCAGCCGCAAGGGCAAGAAGGAGAAGCTTCGCGACCTGCTGTCCTCAGATATGATCAGCCCGCCACTGGGGGACTTCCGCCACACCATTCACATTGGCAGTGGTGGTGGCAGCGACATGTTCGGTGACATCTCCTTCCTGCAGGGCAAGTTCCACCTCCTGCCGGGGACGGTAATTGAGGGGCCTGAGGAGGATGGCACCTTCGACCTCCCCTTCCAGTTCACCCGCACCACCACGGTATGTGGGCGGGAGCTCCCCGATGGCCCATCCCCTCTGCTCAAGAATGCCATCTCCCTCCCGGTCATCGGGGGGCCCCAGGCCCTCACCCTGCCCACAGCCCAGGCTCCACCCAAACCCCCTCGCCTGCACCTGGAGACCCCTCAGCCCTCCCCACAGCCTTCCCCGCAGGAGGCTGGGAGCGTGGACATCTGGAGGATTCCAGAGGCTGGCTCACCCCACAACGGGCTGACCCCGGAGACAGGGGCTGAGGATCCCTTCTTGTCCCATGCCAGCTCCCTGCTGTCCCTGCATGTGGACCTGGGGCCTTCCATCCTGGATGACGTCCTCCAGATCATGGATCAGGACCTGGATCCCGTGCAGATCCCCACGTAGGACCTGCGGCTGACCAGGCTGGGTGCCCAGGTTGGGGTGACGCCGGGTAGGCAGGTTGTGGAGACAGCCCTGGCCTAGGAGTCAGGATCCCAGGGTCCCACCTGTGTGATCACTGGCCAGTGATTCTCATTTCGAGCCTTTGTTTCCCTGCCTCCCATTCTCTCCCCGTGGGCAGCGTGTGCCTCAGCGCTTTCCCTAACAAACCCCAAGGACATGTGCGGAAGTCAGCCCAGAGTGCCCTGGGCATCTTGGCCCACCTGGACCCCCACCACCAACTGCTTCCCTTGGGCTCCTCAGTTGAAGGCTCTGCTGAAATGGATTCCCCTTTTCCCTCCCTTCCGCCCCAGCCCCGTTCAATGCCCTGACTGGGGGCAGAGGAAGAAGCAGGGCACAGCCAGCTGAGGGCTTGGGCAGTGGGCAGGCTGTTCCAGACCTTTGGCTTTGTCCTGGACTGGGAGTGTGTTGTCAGTGAGCAGATGTGTCCCACCTTGTCCACTGCCCCATCCCTTCCCTACAGGACCAGGATTCTGGTTGCAATAAAACATGCTGCTGCCGGTGGCCAAGCTCCCTGTACCCTTGTCCCTGGTTTCCTCCCAAGGGCAGGCCAGTCTCCGTGAGCTGTGGACTCACCTGGGGGAGACCGCAGCCTCAGAGTGCTTTGCGGAGGGCAGGCCCTCCCCTCGGGAAGGCTGCACCTGGTTCTGAGCCCACAGTTAGGATGAAGTAGGAGCAAACCAAGTGTCAATGTGGATATTCCGACATCGATTCAGCTGTTTGGCAAGAGGTGGCTGAGCACTGGGGTAGGCTAGGCACTGTGCCAGGCCTGGGTCCAATCCTTGCCTAGGCATCTGGGGTCTGTCAGGGGAGACCCGAGAGTCAAAGAATAGCCACAGGATGCGTGCAAGGGACCAACAGCTGCAGAGCATGGAGGGGAGCGCGCAGGAGGGAGGGCCAGCCTGGGGCCGGGAGGGATCAACAATGCTGATTGGTGGATTCAGCCCATCCATGCTGTTTATTAAGCAACTACAGTGTACTTGGCATGGCTCCGGGTGCTGGGGATATAAGACAGATGCGGTCTCTGCTCTCTTGAGCTTATATTCTAGTGGGGAGAAGGATATTAAAATTGTAAATAAGAAATGATTTCCAGCAGTGGTAAATGTTATGAAGAAAACAATATGATCAGGAATGCCTGGGGGCAGGGGGCAGGTGGTGTCAGGGCACATTAGGGTGATTGCATGGGATTTTGGGCCAAATATGAGCCAACAGCCTTATACTCATGCATCAGCAAAGGCACTGAGGTGGCACCAGAGTGAATGACAGAAGCATGGACCTCTGAGATGGACCAAGCCTATGTGAGACTCAGTTTCCCCATTTCTAAAATAGAGTCAATGATACCTACCTTGCCGGGTTGTTGAGAAATTTAGGGATAATATTTATTAATTGCCACATGGAAGGTATTAAAAAATGGTTATGATGTGTAACAAAGGGACTTGAGGTTCAGGAGGGGCAAGACTGTGAAGCTGGAGGACAGCTGGGCGTCAGCTGAGAACATTGTTGCTGGCCAGGCTGGCGCTGAGGCAATGGGAGCTGCCGCCTTGGCCTCCCAAGTAGCTGGGATTACAGGCATGCACCACCATGACCAGCTAATTTTTGTATTTTCTGTAGAGATGGGGTCTCACTATGTTGCCCAGGCTGGTCTCCAGCTCCTGGCCTCAAGCCATCCTCCTGCCTTGGCCTCTCAAAGTGCTGGGATTACAAGTGTGAGCCACCACACCTGGCCCTTTCTTTTTAAGGCTGAATAATATTCCATTGCACGTACCACATTGTGTTTATCCATTCATCCATCAATGAATGCTTGGGTTGCTTCCACCTTTTGGCTATTGTGAATAATGCTGCTATGAACACGGGTATACACATGTGTTCAAGATCCTGCTTTAGTTCTTTGGGGTGTATACCCAGAAGTGGAATTGCTGGATCACATAATAATTCCATTTTTAATTTTTTGAGCAACAGCCATATTGTTTTCCATATTGCCTGCATTATTTTACATTCCCACCAAGGCTTTTGTTTTTCATTTGTATTTTTTGCCATCATACAGAGCTTGAAGATTTGACATACTATCTGGAGTGGGATTTGAACCCAGGTCTGTGGGACCCAAAGCCTGTACGTGACTGCAACCCCCTGCCTCCACAGGGGTTCAGCTTCAGGCCCTGGTAATTCTTGTGACAGCAAAGGGTTGGGGAGCTGAAGAGCCGCACCTTCTTGCCTGCAGGCCCCCACAGTGCTTGAGTGGTTTGTCCCCTTCTGCCTGGGGAAAGGCAGACAAGAAAAATGGACACCTTCCTTAGAGCTTCACCCAGAGGAAAGCAGCACCTCACCCCGGACCTGAGCTGAGGCCAGAGTAGCCACAGAAGGGCATTCCTGCCCTGAGTCCCTGGAAGGGCTCTCAACCTACCCTGCATCAGGCACCAGCCAAATGGCCCTGGGAAACCACTCGGGGCTGCCGCATCAGGGTAGATAGGTAGGCGACCTGAGGCATCAGGTTAACTGAGCTCAGACACCTCCTTACACCAAGGTAGCTACAGGTAGAGAGAAGGACCCTCCCTCTTAGGCTTGTCTAGATACTATGTCCCACAAATACTATCCACAAAAGGAATTCCCCAAAATAGGGAGAAAAGTTGTTGTTAGACAGCCAACAAAATGATAGATGTTCCTACAGTCCACTGTTTTAGATGCTCAACGTTCATGTATGTCTTTATTCCAGTATTCTTCAAAAAACAGCAACAATGTATCTAGCCTACCTAGTATACTGCATCTGTCCCTCTTTCTGTCAAAAACACAGTCACTCTTTCCAAAGGGAGACAACTCAAAGTCTTGCTAATTATCACATCCACTCCCAAGTCCAAGATTTCAGGATGATGTCCATCCTCCTGCAATTCCCTTACCAGTCCATCTCAATATTTTGCAATCTATGAACTATATTGTAAAGTTAATTACCACCAAATACATCCTATATAGGAGCAGAGGGAAAGAGAGAATAATGGAGAATTAAAATATATAAAAAAAATGCTTGACACAGCTAGAAAAAATATATTATGTAGAAGCTACAGACTTTTTCTATAAGAAAGCTAAAACTGGTATAAATAACTTTCCTCCTTCACTACCCAGTTCATATTCCCTTTGCCTTCAGCCTTCATCTTGGCCGTTCAGGGTTCTTTAGTAGGTGAGGTATCCCAAACCTTTATTTTTAAAATCTGACCCCTTGTGGCTCTCCCTGTATAGAGTTTGCTTTTTCCCCAAACTTTTTGTTTTGAAACATTTCAAACTTACAGAAATATTAAAAGAATAGCACAGCGACCCTGCATATATTTTCATCTAGATTTGTCAATTATTACTATCTTGCCTCTTTGCTTTATCTCTTTGCATATATATTTTTTTCTGACCCTTTAAAAGTAAGTTGCAGACATCATGATACTTCAAACCAAATACTTCAGCATTTATTTTCATTAAGTCTTCATTTAGCTTGCTTGGGCTTTACTGGGCTTCTTCAATCTGTGGATTGGTGTATTTCATCATTTTTAGAAAATTAGTAGTCATTTTCTGTTTAAATATTGCCTTTGCCCCTTTCTCTCTCCTTAGCCTCCAGGACTCCAATTAATATGTGTTAGACTTCTCACTATATCCTCTGTCTCTACTTAAATTCTGTATTTTCTGTTCTTTTGCCTTTTCATACTATATTAAAGATACTATCTTCCAGTTCACTTGTTCTCTTTTCAGCTGTGTCTAATCTGCTTTTAACCCATTCATTCATGTGTTCTTAATTTTGGTTACTGTATTTTTTAATTTTAAAAGTTCTATGTGGTTCTTTAAATTTTTGTTGTGGCACTTTTTACTTGTTCCCTCCAGATATTTTTTTCCCTCCAGATATTTTAATGCTTATCTCTAATTTATTTAAACACAGTAAGCAGTGTTATTTTATGGCTGATATCAGAAAATTCCAATATCTTAAATCTTTGTGGGTCAATTTGTGTTTTCTATTGTTTGAACTGGTTCTTGTGCAAGCTTTCTTGTTTCTTTGTGTGCCTAATTATCTTTGACTGTGGGCTGGATATTGTATCTGAAAAAATATTTTTAAAAGTAATTTGAGGCCTAGGATGACAATATATTCCTTCAGAAAGGATTTATTACTTGGTACCAAGTATGCTTGCCTTCATCAGGTGAATGGGGACATTATAAAAATGGGTCCACCTTAATACAAGTTCAAGACTTGAGCTTTCCTGGACCATCCAAATAATAGGATTCTGAGCTACAAGTTCATAGAAGTTGACTTGTATCTCAGAGCACATATGTGTCAGTGGTGGGGTATCTGACTTCCTACTTTGGGAAAGCTCTGGGTTTTGATTCCCCCCCCCAAAGACTGTCAAACAAGTTTAATTTCAAGGTTATATATTCCAGATTGGTAAATGCCCCCAGGACAAAATTGCTTTGAATGCTGGACTTACTTCCTTGGGTTTTAGCCTTCTAAACGTTGGCCCAGTAATTCTTCACTGTACTACTAGCTTTTCAACACTTTAAAAATTTTTTTAACTTCCTGTTTTTTAGTTTATCTTTAGAGGAAGGGTCAGAATCCAAATACCAGAAGCCTGTCTCCCCTTAACTACCTGCATATAATATTAAGAAGAAACGTCCCAGGGGATTCCCTGGGTTTCATTTATATTTCTCCCTGCCCCCACTAGGTAAGAGCAATCCTATTTCCCCTTGACAACTGAAATCAATCACCCCAGCCAACAGTAAGACCCTCTTTTTACTTTCTTGCCCAGTGGCCTGTGGAGCACCAAATGGCTCATTGATAATCTCAGCTAATGATTTAGAGAAATCATCATTGTGCCTCCTGGCGGAATCATTTCTCCCTTGGATTCCAAAGCCTCTAAATCAATCAGAGTCCAGAGTTGCAGGAACAGGAAACGAACATTTTGCAAAAGAGTCTTTAGTTGAGATTGCAAGAGAGTACACCCCCACTGCCACTTCTTGGTTCCTGCTTATAAGAGAAACACTAGATATACTGATCCTTGGTACAGAGCATGTAGAGTAGCTATTGTTTGGTGATACAGAATTTCTTAAAAGAATCATAAAAGAACTGAAAACTAGTGATGCTGGGCTCATAAGCTACCTTTCCTATTATATGGAACTAGTCTACTTACTATTACTAATATTATTAAATTCAAACTTTTTATTGAAATATACATATACAGAAAAGTATATAAATCTTGTGTAGTTTCCTGTGTAAACCCGTGTAAACCACTACCCTGACGAAGAAAAAGAACATTACTAGCACTAGCACCTCGGTAGCCACTTCTCCTGACTTCTGTCCCCATAGATTAACGTGTCTGTTTGTGTAACGTTACATAAATATGTTCTCTTTTGAATTTGGCTTATTTTGTTCAATATTAACTTTCTGAGATTCATTCAGGTTGTCATATAATAATAGTTTGTTCTTGCACTGTGGTCCCATTCTACCATTGATGGGCATTTGTGTTGTTTCTAATTTGGAGCTATTACAAATAATGCTGTTATAAACATTCTTGTACAGCTTTCTGGTGTATATATCCAGGAATGGACTTGCTGGGTCATAGGGTATGTATATGTTCTATTTTAGTGCTAGCATACTTTTTTTTTTTTTTTTTGAGACAAGGTTTCATTTTCCCTCTTTCCCAGGCTGATCTCAAACTCCTGGCCTCAAGCGACCCTCCCACCTTACACTCTCAAAGTGCTAGGATTATACGTGTGAGCCACCAAGTCCGGCCAATGCCAGCATTCTTTTGATCCCCACTTTGAAGTCATCCCTGATACCCCTATCCCCACAATCATTTGGTTCCTACGGGTAAAAGAGTACAGAGTGCACCAGTATTGTTTCTGGATTTTTCTTCCAAGCTGCTGACACCCATTCTGCGCGTTTTGCTGCTGGTGCAGGGTTAGCAATGACAAATACCTCACAACTCTCAGCTGCTAAATACAATTATAAGGCACAGTGATGGTAAGATGTGTTCTGATTCTGAAATATTAAAATGAGGGTGGGGTGGGGAATTTGTGCATCTTGGAATTGGGGAAATAAGGTATAATAGGGAAATGACAAGGATCAAGGGCCAAGCCCTGGGGACTCTAACAGAGGTTGAATAGAGGGAGGCCGGGGCAGGTGTGGTGTCTCAAGACCTATAGCAGTCCAGGCGCGGTGGCTCACACCTGTAATCCTAGCACTCTGGGAGGCCGAGGCGGGAGGATCGTTTGAGCTCAGTTCAAGACCAGCCTGAGCAAGAGCGAGACCCTGTCTCTACTAAAAATAGAAAGAAATTGGTCAAACAACTAAAAATAGAAAAAATTAGCCGGGCATGGTGGCGCTCAGGTAGTCCCAGCTACCTGGGAGGCTGAGGCAGGAGGATCACTTGAGCCCAGGAGTTTGAGGTTGCTGTGAGCTAGGCTGATGCCACGGCACTCTAGCCCAGGCAAGAGAGTGAGACTTTGTCTCAAAAAAAAAAAAAAAAAAAAAAAAGACCTATAGCAGAGTTTGGAAAAGGAAGGACTGGCCAATGGTTTCATAGGCCCATCAGGACAGAGAATAGATCTCTAAAGCTATTGAAACAGAGGTTGTGATGACTTTTCTTCTTTTTTTGAGACAGGGTCTTGCTCTGTCACCCAGGCTGGAGTGCAGTGGTACAATTATACCTCACTGTAGCTCCAAATTCCTGGGCTCAAACGATCCTCTCGCTTCTGCCTCCCAAGTAGCTAGGACGACATCACACCCAGCTAATTAAAAAAAATATTTTTGTAGTGATGGGGTCTGCTATATTGCCCAGGCTGGTCTTGAACTCCTGGACTCGAGCGATCCTCCCTTCTTGGCCTCTACAAAGTGCTGAGACTACACTTGATAGCCACCATGCCTAGCTGGTTATGATGATTTCATTAGGAGCTGTTTCAAATGAAAGGGTGGGAAGAAAATCCATATTAAACTGGGTGGAAGAGAGACTTGGAAACAAGGCAACAGAGATGGGGAGTATAAACAGAATATTTGCTTTGAAAGAGTGAGAAGAAATGGGGTGATAATCGAAGGCAGACTTGGGCTTTTGATTTTTTTTAACGGGGATGTTAAGCCATGTTTGTACACATTTTTGCAGCCAACAGTGAAGGAGAAATGAATGGTCCAGAAGATAGACCGACAGTCACAGGAGGGAAGTTCTTCAGAACCTAAGCAGAGTGAACTTAGGAAGCAAGGGAAAAGAGGCAGGTACCAGTGAAGTCCAGGAGCTGAATTTTGTGTTAGGAAAATAAGGTAACTTTCGCCAGATTGCAATAGTTACGCCAAAGAACTGGCCAGTTCTGGGCGTTAACTTTCCTCTCCCTAAAATGGGCACGTATTTGGGAGCACAAGTGGACTGCACACCACTCTTCCCTTCAGCTACCCACCAGCCCCTCGCCTGTGAGTGAGGGCAAAGGGTTAATTAACCACGTGGTGAAAGGTCAGCTAGGTAGCAGGACACAGGCGCTCCAGCCAACCTTTCTCCAGGCGCCCCCAGCTTCCAACAACCTTTGGCATTTTCATTTCTGCACCAAGTCACAGTCTTCCCCCTCCCCCCGCTCCCTCCTCTAACTGGAAGAGGTGGGGCTCGAGCCAGCGCAGCGGGGCGCGTACCGGTCTCCGGTCGCGCCTGCGCGTTGGGCTCCCGTGGGGTCTCAACGCTTTTCCTTCCCGGACCCAGCGCATAGACGCGAAGCTCGCTCTGAAGCGCTCGCTCGCGTGCGCGCGCGCGCCCGGCAGGCGCCTGCGCAGAGGGACGAGGAAACTGGTGCTCCCGTGCGGTCCCGGCGCCTGCGCGCTGCGGGCTCCGGGGCCTCCCGGCCTGAGGGAGAGGAGCAGGGAAGATGGCGGCTGTGGTAGAGAATGTAGTGAAGCTGTGAGTGGTCGTTTCTTTCTCTCCTAGGCCAGGAGGTCTTGTAAGGGGCCTGGAAGTAGGGGGCCGTGCGGGAAGGGACGAGGCGGGGAGAGGAACATGCCCGGGAAGGCCATGTTGCGACTCCTAGTGGGGAGGGAAACAGGAGACTCCGGAAAAGACGTTGCGCTTCTTTGGAAACTTGTGGAGGCCCTGAGGGGGGCACACAAGAATCCCTGACGGGAAGCCTCCCTGTGGGGACGTGGGGTCTGAGCGCTCCTCGGGGTTTACGGTTTCCAGAGTATGGCGCCCTGGCTGTGTACGAGAAACTTACCGTCCAGCTCCTCCCGGAGACGCCACAGTCCGGGGGAACCGGGCCGAGGCCCGGGCTGTCCCGGGGCGAGTCCCCGCCGACCCCTCCCCTCTGCTGCCCGCAGTCGCCCCTGGAGCAACAGGCTCGGCGGCCCCTGCGGGTGTAAGGACTGCGGGACTATTTTAGTTCTAAGCGGCCCCGTGACGTTCGGGGGGTCTTGGGCAGCAGGTACCCGAGACTAAAAATATTCTTGGGAAGAATTTGTGGAGGAGCAGGTACAGAGGGAAAGAACTTAAGGGGAGTGGGCCTTTGCGTCGGCCAGTCGCAGCCGTCAAAAACCGGAAACCGGACTGAAGCACTCCAGACACTCGAGAGCCTAAAGGGATATCTAAGTGGGCATTCTTCCTATATTACGATACCATCGTGCTGGTCAGATTTCAAGCAAAGTTAAAGTTAATGGTTGTTGGAGACATGGAAACTGGTCTGTTAGCTGCTTTCTGTGAGTTAAAGATGCTTTGGGACTTGATTTGTCCAGCCTCCTTCCTCCCTGAAGAACAATCTGAATGAGTTTTGAGATGAGTTAATGCCCTATGAGCTAATAGAGCAAGCTTATTTTAATGGGTATCTTGGGCTTGATGCAAGGGTAGGAAAATTGAGTGCTATCTAGCTGTCCAGTCGGGGCTTTTGACTGGATGACAGGTAAAGATTGGGGACTTACAGCTTCTCCTCTTTGTCATGTGCTGAGCCCCCCTATTCCCAAGAGCCTTTTTAAGGGGTAAGTTGCTTCTCCCTCCTGCCTGGAGCTTTTTCTTTGAGCATGCTTTCCCACTTCCATTAAGCTAAGTGCCTTCTCCTCCTTGCGGGTTTTTTTTTTTTTAACTTGCTTCCTGCTCCTCCATTCTGCTGCCTCTTTCAGCCATCCCTCCTCCCAACACTAGTATCTTTCTCTCTGATCTGCCCACTCCAGTTTCCCCAGCTCTCTCTTCAGGCTGACATTTTTCTCAATTTAGAAATGACATTGTTGATACACCATTTATACAGTTATCCTTCCTGACTCAGATGCTTTTTCTTTGTTTCCCTGCCCTTCTCTTTGTTGACTTCCCCCATCCCATTGTAAGGGGAGGCTTTACACAGGTTTCATGATTATCGAAAAAAAATCAAAGTTTCTTCTACCTGGGAAATCTACTGTACTGGGGGAATGTCAAAGTTGCCTGGGTTTTGAGAGTTGTACGTAATGAGGCTCTTCGTGTTGGCAGACTTTCTTCAGGGAAATAGGGTTTCCAGCCCTTTCATGTAGTGTTATAAGTGAGGGGTTGCCCATTTAAATAGAGCATGACTTCTTATTTCCCTTTAGAGAACTGTAGAGATTGTGAGGATCAACAGCCACTAATTCCTGAGTACTAATAATGAAAAAACAACTTTCTCCTCCTGATTTCTAGCTGCAGAGGGCCATGGACCACAGTTAATACAGTCCCCTGCAGAACTGTCTTTTTAACAAGGGGCTTCCATTCTTCCTGCATCATTCTCACCCTGGAAAGAGATGCTTTTCTGGTGCTTCTCTTAATTATAGTGTGCCTAGTCTTCTGACAGCTGAGGTTATACATTGAGATCAGGAGTACTAGCTCATCTTTTCTAACTTGCATCTTGTCCTGGGAGAAGAATTTTCCTATTTGGAAATTCTCTGTCCCTCCCAGATGTGATGTCAGGATTAAAACAGTCTTTAAGAGGTCTTACTAGGGTAAAATAATAGTATAAAATAGCTGTGGCTGCTGACTGGTTTTGAAACTTTCTGAGTTAGATAGCAAGATCTAGGGAATAATATTAACTTGAAATTTCTTGCTACAGGAGCCCTAAGTTCTTAGGAGCTCTCTCTCATTCTCTCTTGCTCTCTCTTCATCAGATTCTACACACATACACTGCCTCTTTCTCTCTCTGTCTCTCTCCATGTGTTTCATTCCCAGCCTTCTTACCCAGAAGACTGCTTGCCCTACCTTCTGAAATCCCACTTAACTTGCAGGAGCTCTGACAGAACATCTCATTCATTCCCCCTAAAATCGTTTCCAGCCTCCTTGCTCTGACTTTGCAGCCCTCAGCCAGTCTGGCCCTTCCTTCCATTTGACTTCCAGTGTCGGTATCAATTCCCATCAGCAGAAACAAAGGAGCTGCTGCACTCAGCCTTGTTTATCCAATTTTACTGTGTGGTGAGGACGTGGCTGCCTCCTAAAGGCGAGCAAATGTGAGCCTCTCCATTCTCCCCTCTGCTTTCCTGTACAAGATTTGTGCCTGCCTCAGATTATAGTCATTATAGCTCATTGAATCAAGCCAGGCTGTACTTGTGGTATTGCCATCTCTTTGTGTGGTATGTGTCTTTTTCACTTGCTAGAAACGTGCTAAGCTGTGGGGTGATCTGTTGTGACTTCTCACTGAAGGCCTTCATCAGATTCCAGAGCAGAGTTTGTTGATGTAGTCAATTTATAGACATAAGTTCGGTTTCTCATGCCTGGGCTTTCTTTCACATAGAATCCTGGTATGTCAGAGCTCATCTAGTCCAACCTCCCCTATCTAGAAAAGGAACCAAGGTCCACCTGGGTTAACCAGACATCCATGTTTATGTGGTTGCCTTGCACCCTAGCCAGGTCTTTTTACTCTCAAGTCAAGTCTGTGTTCCAGACATCTTCCTGGGTATTGGGGATGCTATGGGAAAGAAATTATCTCTGCTCTCAGTTTAAGATTGGTTGAATATAAATACGAATTGTTTCAGTTAGTTTAATCTCTATTACCAAAGTGCTTGTTAAACCCTGAAGGATGAGAACAAGATTGGTTCTATTATATATACATGCTTCTTAGCACCAGGTAACTCCTAGCACTGTGCAGTTTTCCAGCTTTTTAAAGCACTTACCCTTGATTCACATTTCAAATTGAGTCTTTTGAGACCAAGAAGCTTCTTTCCTATACAATTTGATTGTGCGAGAATGGGGAGGGCCCCAGGATGGGCCTTAGAGCAAACAGATTTCATATCAGTCAGTAATAGTGCTCAATAAAAGCTTCAGGGAACTTCAGGAATTTGCAAATGTCTTCCATAAGTGTAAAATTAGTACATGAAATGAATTAGTTGGTTAAAAGCCTAGGTCTAAATCCAAAAGATATAAAAAGGCATATGGAAAAAAGTGCCCTAGTCACACAGTTTTTCTCCCTGGAGGCTTGCAGTTTCTTTTCCACCTCTTTGTAACATAAAGGGTAGTATCCTGTGACACTTCTCAGCACTGTACCTTGCTTTTTTTTCCTAGTTATCTTGGAAATTGTTTAATTATCAGTACATGAAGAGTGCCCTCCTTTTTTTATGGCTAAATTGAATTTTATTGTATGGATTTACTGAAGCTTGCTAAATACATTGTAGTAAGTCCCCCAGACCTTGTTGAACTCTTTCCCATGTTTCTAAGGAGGGGCTAACATCTGCTTCTCAGAGTCAAGAGAGTTAACATCTTAACTTAGCACAGGGCTAGACTTAAGAGAAGCCCTGTTTGGGGGTTAGACTTAAGTCTGATTAGATACATGATGAAATTATGTGTTTCTGATGGCAATTTATTTGTAAAGCGCCTTTCCTCATGATGGCTTAGCGAAGGGCCTTGATGTCCCATGAGGTAGAAACGGAGGCAAATAGAACCAAAGAGACAGTCTCCCAGTCCTTTGAGCCTTCTAGAGAAGCGGATGGCAGGGAAGCAGAATAGCGCAGCATCCCATATACCCTGCCCCAACACACACACACACACACACACACACACACACACACACACACACACACACACACACCCCTGCTTTTTATTTTCCCTGCAGCCTTGGCGAGCAATACTACAAAGATGCCATGGAGCAGTGCCACAATTACAATGCCCGCCTCTGTGCTGAGCGCAGCGTACGCTTGCCTTTCTTGGACTCACAGACCGGAGTCGCCCAGAGCAACTGTTATATCTGGATGGAAAAGCGACACCGGGGTCCAGGTGAGGATCCAGACTTGGGAGAAGGGGACTCAGGAGCATAAGGGGGAAGAAGTTTCCTTATCGTAGGTGATGAGGCCGCTGAGAGGGTTTTCCCTAGTGCTTTTTATCTTTGGATGGACATGGTCTTCCTGTGACTGGAAACCCAGGGAGGGTGAAGCAGATAGGTTCATAGCAGCATCTTTGTTTTTTGACCTGCTCAAGCCATTATCGTGTTTCTGGAGAGCTATGTGTTAGCCAAGGCCCCTAAGTTTACACTTCTTTTCCACAAACTGTTTCACCCAACTCACCAGGCTCTCACTGTCAATATTCCTCACTTGCTCTAGAACTCAAAGGGGGCCCTACTCATCTAGAAAGTGTTTGATATTGTTTTCTAGAGCAGTGTTAGGGTTTGACTTCTCTCTCTCTTCCTTCCACAGGATTGGCCTCTGGACAGCTGTACTCCTATCCTGCCCGGCGCTGGCGGAAAAAACGGCGAGCCCACCCCCCTGAGGATCCACGACTTTCCTTCCCGTCTATTAAACCAGGTAAGACACACCCTCCCTGGGCAGGGGCAGAGCCTGTTGCATGCTAAGAGGCCTGCTAACCACCTGTTATGTGCCAGGCCAAATGCTAGATCCTGAAGATACTAAAATGAATAAGATGTGATTCCTTCCATTAAAGAGCTCAGTCTAGTAGGGGAGACAGGTAAACAGATGGGTTACAGAGCCATTGAACTAGGGTGTCTTGGTTCCTGGGCAACCAGAGAATAGAAGACAGTGACTGGCCTTCGGTAAGCCGTGTCATTGTGTAGACTCAGAGCAGTCTGCTTTCAGCCTTTCTGAGCCTTGCTTCATCCTGGCCTTGTTTGCAGACACAGACCAGAACCTGAAGAAGGAGGGGCTGATTTCTCAGGACGGCAGTAGTTTAGAGGCGCTGTTGCGCACCGACCCTCTGGAGAAGCGAGGCGCCCCGGATCCCCGAGTTGATGATGACAGCTTGGGCGAGTTTCCTGTGACCAACAGTCGAGCACGGAAGGTATGAGTTTATCTCTGTGGCTAAGGGAGCTTTGATGGAAACCAGCCTTCTCTTTATCAGGGCCACCCAGTTACTATTAGGTTGGTGCAAAACTAATTCCAATTTTAACATTGTTGAAATTTGGTTCTTTGATATTGGAATACATTCTTAAATAAATGTGGTTATGTTATACATCATTTTAATGTGCATTCTTGCTTTGGTTTTTTGCTGATGACTTATTACTTGCTGTTTATATTTAGACTGTGAAAATTATGTTAGACAAAAAGCAAATTCAAGCAATTTTCTTATTTGAGTTGAAAATGGGTCGTAAAGCAGCAGAGAGAACTCACAACATCAGCAACGCATTTGGCCCAGGAACTACTAATGAATGTACAGTGCCGTGGTGGTTCAAGAAGTTTTGCAAAGGAGATTAAGAGCCTTGAAGATGAGGAGCACAGTGGTTGGCCATCACAAGTTGACAATGAGCAATTGAGAGCAATCATTGAAGCTGATTCTCTTACAACTGTATGGGAAGTTGCCAGAGAGCCCAGCATTGACCATTTTATGGTCATTCAGCATTTAAAGCAAATTAGAAAGGTGAAGAAGCTCGCTAAGTGGGTGCCTCATGAGCTGACCGCGAATCAAAAAAAAATCATTGTTTTCAAGTGTCGTCTTCTCTTCTTGTACACAACAAACCATTTCTCGATAGGATTGTGACATGCGACGAAAATTGCATTTTATATGACGACTGGCGAAGACCACCTTAGTGGTTGGAGCAAGAAGAAGCTCCAAAGCACTTCCCAAAGCCAAACTGGCACCCAAAAAAGGTCTTGGTCACTGTTTGGTGGTCTGCTGCCGGTCTGATCCACTACAGCTTTCTGAATCCTGGCAAAACCATTACATCTGAGAATTATGCTCAGCAAATCAATGAGATGCACCAAAAGCTGCAATGCCTGCAGCCTGCGTTGGTCAACAGAAAGGGCCCAGCTCTTCTCCACAACCATGCCAACCGCACGTCACACAACCAACACTTCAAAATTTGAACAAATTGGGCTACGAAGTTTTGCCTCATCTGCCATATTCACCTGACCTCTCACCAACCAACTACCACTTCTTCAAGCATCTTGACAACTTTTGCAGGGAAAATGCTTCCACAACCAGCAGGAAGTAGAAAATGCTTTCCAAGAGTTTGTCAAATCCCAAAGCCCAGATTTTTATGCTACAGGAATAAACAAACTTATTTCTCATTGGCAAAAAATGTGGTGATTGTGATGGTTCCTATTTTGATTAATAAAAATGTGTTTGAGCCTAGTTATAATGATTTAAAATTCATGATCTGAAACTGCAATTACTTTTGCACCAGCCTAATTGAACTGAAGCAGAAGCTGTGGAGCAGCAGGCACCTGCAGTTCTGTTCCTACGTCATCCCCTGATTAATGCCGGGTACTGACAGGCTTCTCTGTTGCCATCGGTCTCTGCCAGTCCTAAGCACAGACTGTCACTCATTTGTCCTCTTTTGTCACAAAAGTTTTTGTCATCGAGTTTTGGTGCCTGAGGCTCCGTAGGTGAAACAGATGAGGTCTCAGCCAACAGGGAAGATAAAACTATATATATAAATAATAAGGACTGAAAATATGCCAGGCACTGTGTTAAGTACTCTTCCACATGCTTTCTCCTTTAATCTGTATGACCTTAGCGGGTAGGTCCAGTGGTCCCCATTTTATAGACAAGGAGGCTGAAGCAGAACAGTTTAAAAAGTTCCCACAAGGTCACAAAAGTAAGCAACAAAGCTCTCATTAAAACTAGGAAATGAGTGTTGGGAACCACTGATGATATGCTCCCTGGGTGGCTGATCAGAGGCAAGAGACGGCACAGGTGCTTGGGGAATTAGGAAAAGCTTATGGAGTCATGCTATTTGCTTTGGCCCCTTGGCATAGTGGGAAAGGCATTCCAGGCTGAGGAAACAGCATGAAGGGAGGCACAGGGGAAGGAAAGCCCGAAGCATGGAAAGGAGCAGGAACAGGATTGGGGGGTGTTTAAAGGACAGTGGTGAGGAATGAGGCTGGCATTGGTGGGGCCAGGTCACAGGAGGTTCTGGATGGCCTTGGCCAATCCCATCTTGGTGGAGATTTTGGATGCACATTATTTCTGCTCATCATAATCCTTGTGTCCACTCAGCGGATCCTAGAACCTGATGACTTCCTGGATGACCTCGATGATGAGGACTATGAGGAGGACACTCCCAAGCGTCGGGGCAAGGGGAAATCCAAGGTGAGAGGCTGGCCCAAGGCCTACAGCCTAGAGCAGGGCAGCCTGGGAAGTCCCATGTTTTATTTCTTGCCATTTTTCCCTTTCATGTGAAATTAGCAGCCACTTACAGGAGAGTTTAATTCCTCAGGCCTAGATACCTCAGTAAGGACATCTTTTTGCTCTTGGCAGGGTAAGGGTGTGGGCAGTGCCCGTAAGAAGCTGGACGCTTCCATCCTGGAGGATCGGGACAAGCCCTATGCCTGTGACAGTGAGTGCCTCACTAGTGGGTGGGTAGTCCTTGCCTTGACTCAGCTCCTGCTCAGGATATGAGAGGAGGGAGGGTTGTGTTTTTGCCTGGAGTGGTAAAATAAGCCTGGGCTCTTGTCCTGCCTGCTGGCTGACTGGTTCCCTCTGAGGCTTCTGTGAGGCCTGGGCCTCTGCTACGTGGGGGGTGGGACCTGCATGCTCTGGGAGAGATTTCTGCTGTCCTCTGGGGTGGGGATGCTTGGGGGCACAGGGTTGGCCTCTCAGTAGATGGCATGCAGGTCTGCTGGCCCCAGTCAAGCCAGGGCCCCAGGGGTCCAACACTAAGTTTTTCGTTGTCTGTTCTCTTTGCTGTCCTCTCTGGCTTGCCCCACTTCTGTCCCTCTACCCTGGGAGACCATCACCGTTGGGGTTTCTCTCTCGCTTGCTCTACCTTCCTGCTGCTGCTGCTCCTGTCTCAAGTGTGTCAAGGCCTTCTTCTCATGACTTTTCTTTCTGTCTTTCAGATAGTTTCAAACAAAAGCATACCTCGAAAGCGCCCCAGAGAGGTAGCTCTCTCAACTTTTCAGACTTTTGGTTTTCCTGTCCCTTTTTCCCTCCTCCCTTGTTCCTCCTGCCTTTCTCATCTCCTGTGGTGCTAGTTTTCAAATCTCTGGAATGGCATGGGGTAGGAGCAGTGGAACTTACGCTGTGCTCCACTCCTCAAGTCCTGGAAGCTGCCTTTACCACTGCTCGCCTCCCACAAGCCTGCTGTTAGAGCCGCTCGGCCCAGTGCATGGGGCAGCTTCAGGGGCATCATAAGGAACCCATTGCAGACAGATCCACCTGCTGCCCTCCCCTGAATAGGCACTTGGTGGTCAGCTGATGTTCCCCACCATCCCACCACCTCCTCCTCCATCCTCTCTCCCCTTTCCTTTCCTGCTGTCCCCCATGCCCTTCTCAGTATCTGCTCAAGCTTACAGGATACCTCGTGGGGATCTGCTTTCCTGCTGGTTGGTGGGGGCTGGACAGGGCACTGATTTGGGAGTATGTTTGAATTTCTTTGGGGGCCACTTGCCCCAGCTGGCTCAGTTGATAGGTATCCCCAAGAGACTCCCCCACCACTCATTTACTTGCATTCAGCAGAGATGGGCTCCGTGGTCTATACAGAGTAGCTTAAGCTTTTACCCCACATTTACTGAGGAGTAAAAAGGTTTGAAGTCTCTTCCTCACCTTTCCCTTTTCCTGCCACCCTGCAGGACTATAGAAATTCCCTTCCCTTTCCTGACCTGGAGCTCCCCAGGCTATTACTGTTCCAAGATCAAGTGGTGATGGGGCAAGGGCTAAGCCTCTGAGAAGCCAATGTGGAAGGGTAATGGTGGCCATGGGGTTGGTGTTTGAGAGGAAGAAGCTAGAGCACCCCAGGGCCTGATGCTCCTGGCTGAGGGGAGAGGGCCTCACGAAAGGCCTGTCCCAGAACAGAGCTGGTGGGTGAAGGGGAGGTTGCCCTCTCTGCCTTAGGTGGAGCCCCACAGTTGGCAGGGGTGGGATGTGGCACTCTTGTATCCTAATACCTTTCTCTGCAATCTTTTCCCTACCCAGTTTGTGGGAAACGTTATAAGAACCGACCGGGCCTCAGTTACCACTATGCCCACTCCCACTTGGCTGAGGAGGAGGGCGAGGATAAGGAGGACTCCCAGCCACCGACTCCTGTTTCCCAGAGGTCCGAGGAGCAGAAATGTAAGCTGAGAAGTTGGCCTGGTTATAAAAACCCCTCGCAGGGATGAGTAGCCCAAGGGCATCATTACGGCTCTTGTCTTTTTCCCTGTAGCTAAGAAGGGTCCTGATGGATTGGCCTTGCCCAACAACTACTGTGACTTCTGTCTGGGCGACTCAAAGATCAACAAGAAGACAGGACAGCCAGAGGAGCTGGTGTCCTGTTCTGACTGTGGCCGCTCAGGTACCTCCTCCCCCAAAGAGAACGCTGCTGCCATGCTCAGTCCCCAAGGGGCTCTTGCCTTTCTTGCCCTGCTAGCTTCTGGTGCTGTCACAGTCAACCAGCACACCTCACTTCTGGCCAAGAGAAGATGTAGCCATGGGCAGGGGCTCCTCTCTTCTCCCCTCATTTCTGCTGCCTGTTTCACTCGGTTCCTCCTCCACAGGGCATCCTTCTTGCCTCCAGTTCACCCCTGTGATGATGGCGGCAGTGAAGACCTACCGCTGGCAGTGCATCGAGTGCAAGTGCTGCAACATCTGCGGCACCTCCGAGAACGACGTGCGTATCCCTGCTCCCTGGTGTGGCTCCTTCGGGGCTTCTGCTGTTCTTTCCACAGTTCCCTCTAAAGTGAGCTTGCTGTTGAAAGGAGGCAAGATTCCTCCCACACACCACATGACCCTCCCCAGCATCCCAGTCAGAACTTTGATTTGTTGGCAGGTGTTTATTGAGTACTGACTTTATGGCAGACGTTGTTCTAGACACTAAGGGTACTAAATAAGACAAATAAGGTCCCTGCTTGCATGGAATTTACATACTTATGGGAACAGCAATCAGCAGAGAAATAAGTGAGATTTGTATGACATGCCATGGAAAAAATGAAACCAGTAATGTGGCAGAAAGTAACTGTATTACTAATTTAGATTGACGGTCAGAGATGGCTCTTCTGAGGAGGTGATGTCGGTGTTGGAATTTGGATGATGCCAAGGAGCCAGTTTGAGCAGGTTTGGAGGTAGAGCCAGTGCAGAGGCCCTTGAGGTGGACAAGCCAGGCGCGGTGAGCAGGCTGATGTGGCTGGATGGAGTCTTCCTGCCTGTGGGGGAGCATGGCAGGAGATGAGATGGGACAAGTGGATACCACCAGCTCTGTGGGGCCTGGGGTTCTGTCCTGATTACAGTGGGATGCTGTTGCAGGGTTTTAATTGGGGGAGTGACTGGTCTGTCTCACATTTTAAAAAGATAACTTTGGCTGCCCTGTGGAAGGTAGATGATAGGGGACAAGAGTGGAGGCTGCGTGTCGGTCGGTCAGGTCAGGGTCTGGCAGGATCCGCGTGAGGGACAACAGTGACTGGGTCTGGACTAGAGATGGACAGCAGTGGTTTCCTACCCAAGATTCATGCATCTGTTCTTGCCTGCCACCTACCCTGCCCCTCTGGAAGTAGCAGCAGTGTCACAGAAGCCTTCTTCCTACCCCCTTCCCCCAGTGGCCTAACTGAAGCACATAAGTCACTCAACCCCCATGCTTGCTCTGCTCCAGGACCAGCTGCTCTTCTGTGATGACTGTGATCGTGGCTACCACATGTACTGTCTTACTCCGTCCATGTCTGAGCCTCCTGAAGGTAAGTTGCCCAGGTCTCTTACTCAGAACAATGATTTTATTAATAACTTGGAAAATATTGAGTTCTATGTTGTTTATATTATCAGTTATTTATTCTTCCAAATTAGGGAGTAAGGCACCTTGTCTTGGCTCAGTTCAGAGTACTTTCTAGCTTTTCAACTTTTAAAGAGTTTAACGTTTGCACATTACCATTAGTTACATACACAAACACAAAAAATCAGCCCAAAAGGCCAGGCGTGGTGGCTCACACCTATAATCCTAGCTCTCTGGGAGGCCGAGGCGGGCGGATTGTTTGAGCTCAGGAGTTCGAGACCAGCCTGAGCAAGAGCGAGACCCCGTCTCTACTAAAATTAGAAAGAAATTAATTGGACAACTAAAAATATATAGAAAAAATTAGCCGGGCATGGTGGCGCATGCCTGTAGTCCCAGCTACTCGGGAGGCTGAGGCAGGAGGATCGCTTGAGCCCAGGAGTTTGAGGTTGCTGTGAGCTATGATGACGCCACGGCACTCTAGCCCAGGCAAGACAGTGAGACTCTGTCTCAAAAAAAAAAAAAATCAGCCCAAAAGAAAACAGATGCTGAGCAGAGAACAGTCACCCAGAAGGAATGATTTGTTTTCCTCCAGCCAGTCTAGGAATCTCCGTAAGTCCCCTCCCAGCTGGATCTCCATGCCTTAAACCCCTTCTATATAGAAATTCAGGAGTTTATTCAAAGGACACAAACACCCAGTAGCTGTTACTATGCACAAAGGATGTGGGCCAGCATTCCAGATGAGAGAAAGTGGTTCACTGTCTATGTGGCTGACTTGTAATATAGGTCAAACTGCTGTCACTGCTCTAGAGAATGAAGCCACTAACAAAATCTGAGAGTCCTTTAGCAGCTACAGGGGAGCACTCTCAGGCCCAGTTTATAAATCTGCTTTTGGGAGAATTAGCATGTTTTGTGCTTTTTTTTTTAGCCATCAAATATCAATTTGTAGACAAAATCTATACTAATTGCAGAATGGCTTTCCTATTCAGTTTCTGCGGGACACTGGGGTAGCGGAGTGTTCTTCCTGGAGTGTTAAGGCAGTTGAGGGGCAACCCCAGAAGTCATCAGATGTTCTAGGTTCTAGGTCAAGTTTGGCAAACTACAACCCATGGGCCAAATCCAGCCACAGGCAGTTTATATAGATTGCAAGCTAAGAGTGCTTTTTATATTTTTAAAGGGAGGTTTTTTTAGTTTGTTGTTTCTTACAGAGACAATGTCTTGCCATGTTGCCCTGGCTGGTCTCACACTCCTGGGCTCAAGCATTCCTCTTAAAGGGAGTTTTAAGAAAAAGATGTAAATGAAACTGTATGTGGCTCACAAAGCTTAAAATATTTAACACTAACGCTTTACTGAAAAGTTTGCCAACCCCTGCTCATTGACCTTTGGGTTAGAAAGGACCTTCCTCTTACATTTTCTTATCACGTGTCTCTGAAGAGCTAATAAAAGCTGTGGATCCTTTCCCCCCGAATTATGTCCAAATGTACATGTATGTAATTATGCTCATAATTTCAAGGCATTAGGACTAATTTTTTTTTTAAAAAAATGGAAGAATCCAACCATGGTATATGTTAATCAACAAGGTATGAGCATTAATTTTCTTGTAAGGAAAAATTATGTCTCCTTTTTTTCTGAAACTAGACTCAAGTCATAATGGGTTAGATCATACAGTTCACCCCTTTTCTGCTGATCAGGTCCTCAGCCTCTGCTCAGACACCTAGTGATAGTGGCAGCCATCTCGCAGTGGTTTTCACAGAAAGCCTGATCTTATGTGGAATTACACTTGGTTTCTCTGGAGCCACTACTCTTGATCTTTAGTCTAACCTTTGGACCACGAGAACCAAGTCTGGTTCTTCTGTAATCACAAGCCCAAAACTGGGATGTTTTAGAAACTTCCTCTCTGCCTAGGTCCTCCTCCTACTCCCAGAGGTTCTGATTTAATAGGGCCAAGAGGGCCTGGGCATCTGTTTTCTGAAACAGTCCTCCAGATGATTGTTTCTTTCATCTCCATTGAGAATGATTTTTCCTCCTAGCTCATGATAACCATAAACTTTGCTACTGCAGACTATCCCCCTTCCCTGGAGCTGACAAGGGGTGCAGAAAGTGGAAGAATAGCAAGCAGATGGGGGTCTTGTGGGACCCATCCTGACCCCATTATGCTTTTCTGCAGGAAGTTGGAGCTGCCACTTGTGTCTGGACCTGTTGAAGGAGAAAGCTTCCATCTACCAGAACCAGAACTCCTCTTGATGTGGTCACCTCCCTGCTCCTCACACGTCTAAGGCTGTTTCTCTCCTCCACCATGTTTTTCATATCCCCCTTTCCCTTCTTCCTCCTCTCTTTCACAAGTCCAGAGAAACTTGGGGTGGTTGTGCCAATCTACCTTTGGCAGCAGCAATCTGAGGTGGCAGCTCTGACTGCCTCTGGCCCCAAGCCCTCAGGGAGAAAGGAGCAGCACACTGCCCCAAGGCATACCTGTGGGCCCAGCTTCTCTCTGCTCTCCATGAAGTGCATTCACTCTGCTTGCCTTGGGCCCAGGCCCTGGTGATCACAGGGTTCAAACAGTGTCCTCCGAGAAGGAGTGGGAGAACAGCTTGCTTCTCTCTCTCCACTCTGGTCTCCAGGCTTTTCCCTTCCCCCAAAGTTGAGCTGGGCCAGGGCTTCTTTGCCAAGAGCAGCAGGGAGTGAGCAAGCTGAGGCCACGCTCGCAAGGAGCTTTCCATGCCCTTTGTGCTGCTTAGCCTTGCCTTTTCCCTTCAGAGCGACTCTCTGCAGCTCTCTGTTCCCACTACACGGGGTCCTTTGCCTGAGCCTGGATGTTCTCAGTCACTCTCCTGGCTCTGCCCTGTCCTGCTTCACCACACCCAGGGGGAGTAGCAGCTTCACCCTATTCTTCCTGTGCTCTCCTGGCTCACTCTCACGGGCGGTCTCCAGTGACCGAAGCATTCCCCACCCTTGGAATTTCCCACCTTCTGCCTCCCCTCCTATTCCGTTTGGTTTTGTGGGGAGAGGGGAAGCATCAGGGGGCCAGGCCAGCAGCTTGGGGTCCACAGGGAGATGTTGGATAATGTGCCTGTTTTTTAACATGACGAAAAAGCCTACCTCCAAAATCCCTTTTTGTTCTTCCTGGACCTGGGCATTCAGCCTCCTGCCCTTAACTGAATTGGAGGCCTCAGCCTCCTGCCCTGTGTATCGGACTCCCAGGTCACAGGAAAGCCACATAGAAGTCCCTTTCTTCCCTTGCACGCTCGCTAGCAGCTGGTAAGGTCTTCACCCTGATTCCTCAAGTTTCCTGCTTAGTGGCACTGACATTAAGGACTGGAGGCAGTCCATGCCGAGACACCCTAGAGTGGCCTTCCCCCTTGGCTGTGGGCAGGCCCAACTTGCTGTCGCTTTGGAGTTGAGGTGTCTCTTTTTTCTTTCTTTAGTTCCTGTATTCTAAACATTAGTAAAAATAAACATTTTTACACAGAGCCCTCTGCTGGATTGTTTATCTTCCAACTCCCAGTTAAGAAGGCCATTTCATCCTAAAACGTTCCTCCTTAACAGTGGTTTTTTTAAATGTTTTGAAATACAGCTTTTTTCTCCCCAAATTAAATTTTTCTGTTGAACCCCAGTATGTAAAGCAGATATAAAATGGGTTATTTTGTTAGTTTTAATTTGTTATGTGAATTAAAGTTTATAATAATTCCTTGTTATAAAGAACAATGAAGCTGTTTTGATCAGTATAAAATCTGGGTTAAAATCAACTTTATCATGCTGTTTATTTCTGTGTTTTGCTTGGTTTGGAGAAAATTTTGTGTAGACATGGATACATAGATGGAAGTGGTACCAAGTTTGTAACAGCTGACCTTGCAATTGCAGATACTTAAGATGGTCCAGGAGCTTCATTATTATATAAATACAATAGCATCAATAACATAAGCCACTAATGACATCCCCATGGGACACATGACAGCTTTTGCAGGAGTGATGAGGGCAGCCTGAGGAACAAAGGGGCCTCGGCCTGGCTTGTCTGGCCGCCTTTAGTTGCCTGCAGTGCTCTCAGGCCAGGCCAGCTGCTCTTGGGGCCTGAGCTGCCCAGAGTTCAGTCCTGCAGCCCTTCCCAGGGCACGTTTACATGCACAAAGCAAGTTTCCCTGAAGCCAGAGTGAACATTATGCCAGCTTACGTGGTGGATCTTGTTATATCTCACTTGAGTGTGTGTTTTGAAGTGCTTGTGTGTTTTTTTTTTTTTTTTTTGAGACAGAGTCTCACTTTGTTGCCCAGGCTAGAGTGAGCGCCGTGGCATCAGCCTAGCTCACAGCAACCTCAGACTCCTGGTATCAAGCACTTGTGTTTTTTTAAAAATAAGGATTGCTTCATGAATCTGTGTGTCAGTGTCTCACAGGGGCCTTGCTAATCTCTGTATCATTCCAATTTTAGTCTAAGTGCTGCCAAAGCAGGCACAAACTTTAAAGAAAGATTTGAATCAGTTATGGGCCCCCTGAAGTATCCTGTTTTTTTGGGAACATTCTGAAAGCCATCATTGCCTGTTTGAGGGCCAAGGCCTGGGCTGCTGTGTTCAGTAAGCAAGCAGGGTGCTCTGGGCTGGGGATTGTGTGAGCAGCAGGGCACAGCCGGTCCTCATCCTTTGAAACTGAAGTTTGAAACTGAAGTAGGCCGGGAGTAGAGGGAGTAGCGAAGTGATGATCTTTGGTGGCTGAGTAGTTTAAGGGCCAGGAAAGGTACAAGATAAGAACGCTGTAGCAGGCATATGAGAGCAAATTTGGAGAGGATTTGCAGGAAGTGGGATTTAGGATGGGACTTAGAGGGATAGACAGTGTCAGCCGGTAGAATGAGAGTGGAGGTGGACGGTTCTGAGGAAGGCAGAGATGGGGACGCAGAGCTGTGGGAGGGGACAGCAGAGAGGCAAACCAGGCTGGAGCTGGGAGTAGAAGGCCCTGGACTGCAGGTTAAGATGTCTACATTTAATTCAGGACTGAAGGTTAGCAAGGAATGGAATGATATTAGATCTTTTTATTATTAATACAAAGGCTAATACGAGGAGATATTAGATCTTGAGTTTAGGAACTTGAATCTCTCAAGTACCAAAACAGATAAAAATTAGTCCTTACTCTCCCTAACTCAGAACTGCCCCCAGGCCAGCAGTGTTTCCGCAGCCGGCTGACTTGGGGCCAGCGCTGTCCATGGTAACTACCTTTTGTCGCTTGAAGCTTGCATCCATTTTCTCCTTTCATCATTTTCCCAAAACAACTCCGTGAGGGCCATTAGCCCTGTTTGGTAGACGAAGAAGCTGGGGCTGCCTAGGGCCACAGCGAAGAAGGCCTTGGGACTCCAAATCAGCCCAGAGGCTTGGGCAGCCCGGGAGGGCTGGTCCCGGGAGGCCGGCGGCGCTGCGGGAACTCCGGCCGGGTCTTGGCTCCTCCCGCCCCTCGCGCTGGAAGCCCCGCCCCCAGAGTGCCAGTCGAACCGCCACTTCAGCGACCTCCAATGAGACTTAGCCGGGGGCGGGACGGGGCATCACTGAAGACCAATCTGATTGGGCCGGGGCGGGGCTGCGGCGGGTGGGCGCCGAGAGGCAGCACCACGGACTTCCCAACCGGGAAAGAGCCCGGCGCGGGCGGCGCGCACGGGGCCCGGCTGTGCGCGCGCCCGCTTGCCGCCCGCCGCCTGCCGCCCGCGCAGCCCCTCTGCCCGGTCTGCCCTCCGGGTCGTGGCGCCTGTCCCTCCTCTGCTCTGCCGTCACCGCCTGGACAGGGGCTCGGGAGCCAGGCTGGGGCAGGGGCGGGAGCCGCGGGAGGAGCGCTTGAGGTGGGTGCGGAGCGGGAGGCCAGGCGGGCGGGCGCCAGGGTCCGCCCCGCCGATGGGCTCCGGGTCGAGGGGGGAGAGGCCGGCCAGGGCGCGGAGTCCGACTCACAGCCTGCCTGGGTCCTGGGCGCTCGTGCCCGCGCCCTGGTATCTTTCCCAGGCCACCACCCTCCCCGCGGGGACAGCCCGCCTCCCGCTGTCCGCAGCCTCCTCACCCCTCTCACCCTTTGTCGCCTGTGCAGCTGCCCTTTCGGCCCTGCCCTGCCACGCCCCCTGCAGGCCGGACCGTCACTCAGGACCCAGCACCAAATTAGACTCGCTCCTTCAGACCCCTCGGTTGCCCTTTGTCGTCTGTACACCTGTCACCTCAACTCTGTGCATTCACTCCACCCCCCTACCAGCATCTTCATCTAAGTCCAGCCCAGGCCATCCTCCCCATGTCCTCCCAGGCTCCCTCCAGCAGCCCCTGACTGTCCCTACACCTGTCCCCTCAGCCCTAGCCCCAGGCCTTCCCCATCCATGCTCCTTTGTTGTCTCTGCAGCTGTCCCCTCACTCTATTCATCCTTCTCCCCCAGTGATGCCAAGCCCAGCCCAGACTCCCCTCTCCTCCTGACCAGACTGATGCCCCTGCCCCAGCTCCGTGCTGGCATTCCTCCGGATGGGGGCTGGCCCGCCCTTCACTCAGCCTGGCCATTGCCCTTCCTCTTTCAGCCTGTCCGGTCCCCCCGACCCCGCTGCACTCCTACCAGTTTCCTGTCCTCATGTATTCTCTTTCCCTTCCTGTGCTCCCCTCCCGTCCCTTCTGGCCTCAGCCTACTCTGCTCCCCTCATGCTTTCCTCCCCCAGCAGGGGCCGTGCAGAAGCCATGGAGCTGAGCAGCAAGAAGAAGCTGCATGCCCTGTCCCTGGCCGAGAAGATCCAGGTGCTGGAACTCCTGGATGAGTCCAAGATGTCCCAGTCAGAGGTGGCCCGGCGCTTCCAGGTCTCCCAGCCCCAGATCTCGCGCATCTGCAAGAATAAGGAGAAGCTCCTGGCGGACTGGTGCAGCGGCACAGCCAACCGGGAGCGCAAGCGCAAGCGGGAATCCAAGTACAGCGGCATCGACGAGGCCTTGCTCTGCTGGTACCACATCGCCCGGGCCAAGGCCTGGGACGTGACGGGGCCCATGTTGCTCCACAAAGCCAAGGAGCTGGCTGACATCATGGGCCAGGACTTTGTGCCCAGCATTGGCTGGCTAGTCCGCTGGAAACGCCGGAACAATGTAGGCTTTGGGGCCCGCCATGTTCTTGTGCCTCCATTCCCCCCTGAGCTGCCACCCCCAGGGCTCACGGCCCAGGCCCAGCCGCCTCTTTCCCTTAAAGACTTCTCCCCAGAGGACGTCTTTGGCTGTGCTGAAGTGCCCTTGCTGTATCGGGCAGTGCCCGGCAGCATGAGCGCATGTGATCAAGTACAGGTGCTGCTGTGTGCCAACAGCAGGGGCACAGAGAAGCGGCAGGTATTGGTGGGTGGGCTACAAGTTGCCCCAAGATGCTTCTTTGGGGTCAGCAGTGAGGCTCTGCCTGCCTCCTACCACCTTGACCTGGGCATCCCCTGGTCACAGTGGTTGGCACAGTTTGACAAGGAGATGGGGCAGCAGGGCCGACAGGTAGCCTTGCTGTTGGCTGCCCAAGTGGTGGAGGAGTTGGCAGGCCTGCCTGGGCTCTACCACGTGAGGCTCTTGCCCCTGTCTGCCTCTAGCACCACGCCTCCCTTGCCCAGCTCAGTGGTCTGGGCCTTTAAGGCCCATTACCGGCGCCGTCTGCTGCGCAAGCTGGCTGCCATCCAGAGCAAGAGGGATGGCACCTCGCTGACCGAGGCCAGGGCGGGCATCACAGTGCTGGACGCTCTGCACATGGTGGCGGCAGCCTGGGCCAAGGTGCCACCTCAGCTCATTTTGAGCAGCTTCATTCAGGAAGGGCTGGCTCCTGGCAAAACACCCCTGTCCCTGGACAGAGCCTCTGAGATGCCACCAGTCCCCAGTGGGCTGAGCCGAGAGGAGTTTTCCCGCTTTGTGGACCTGGAGGGCCAGGAGCCAGGGCCTGACATGTGCAAAGAGGAGTCGGGCACTGAAGATGAGGAGGACGGCGGAAAGGAAGGCTTTGAGCCCCTGCCCACCAAAGCCGATGCCCTCCGGGCCCTGGGCACGTTGAGGAGGTGGTTTGAGTGCAATGGCACCTCCCCTGAGTTCTTTGAAAAATTCTACGACTGTGAGGAGGAGGTGGAGCGGCTCTGCTGCTTGTGAAGGTGCCTTCGCCGCTTGCCAGAGCCCCTCCTCTCCTGTTTCCCATGGAAACGCCCTCTCCAGAAGGCAGACCCGGCTGTCTTTTTCCCATGGAAATACAGCTATCCTGGAAAGCGGAGAAGGGAGAGAAGTTGGGACACCAAGGCTGGGTTCAGAGTGGAAGTCGTCCAAGCCCTGAGAAGAGGGCTGTAAAGATGCAGCTTTAGGGGTAGGAAGCTAGGCTGTGTAGTTTCTAAACCCTGCTCGAAAGTTCAGGAGCTTTAGGGTTTTAGTCTAGAGAGGCTGGGACGTGGAAAGGTGGATTTGGGCTTTACAGACGGGCTGATCACTTGAACAGTTAAAAACAGTTCTGCTTCTGGAAATAAAGTTTTTAATCAGAAAAGAGGCCAGGGTGTTATTTTCATGGGAGAAGGATGAGAACTTTCAATGCAGGTTTGAAACATTGATTGCCCATGGTTGCTACAACGCAGCTGTCTATGGCGAGAAGGGATCCTCTTCCAGAGCCCCAGCAGCAGGGACCTCAGGACATGGCACTGCTCTCAGGCTACCCGGGAAAAGGAGGCTGGAGGACAGACAGATGCAGGCCGTTGCCCCAGACATGCTGCAGCCCCAGTCATTTCCCCCTGAGATTGTGAGTGTTTGGTGTGGGGACGGGGCAGGCCAGGAACATGTCAGGGAAACTGAACCAGAACTTGGAATAGTTGTTCATTTTTCCATTTGTTCATTTCACATCTCTTCAGCACGGCCTCCTATGTGACAAGGTTGCAAAGATGGTGTCTCTGCTAGGCAGGACCTTGCAGACAATGACAGTGGAGTGTGATTAAGGGTCATGACAAAGGCTTGCGCAAAGTACCGTGGCCCCACGGAGCTGGGGAGACGGCAGGTGGAAGGGAGCTTTGAGCTGCCGTGGGGTAGACAGAGTGGGAAGGACACTCCAGGCCGAGGGACAGGGGCGCAGAGGCGACTGGACCACACAAGCACAGTGGTGCAAGGGGAGGCCGGGAGTAGGAAGGGCCGTTAGCGCCCAGGCTTAGTGGTGGGATAGCATTGAAGGGTTTCCGTCAGGCAGGAACGGGGCGTCCTTGGTGTTCTAGAATGATAGCGGAGTCAGTATGGGGTGGATCAAAGATGTGAGACCGAGAGGCAGAAAGACTCTGACTGGTCCAGGTGAGAGAAAGTGAACCTGAGCCAGATTGTGGGAGCAAGACGGGAAGAAAATGATTTTACCTGAAAGGCCATGGGCTTTGGAGACAGACAGACCCTGGCTGGCGAGGATTCCAGCTCCAGGCCAAAATCCTCCGTGACCATTCGGGCTCTGCCACCGGCAATCACAAGGCTTTGCCTGGTGTGCCCCATGGGGGGCGGCTGCCCTCCCCACGGCAGCCCGGGGCATGGCCAGTGCGTGGCACTTGGCGGTTTTCTGGAAGGAGCTGCAGTCAAGGCCGCAGGGCCCCCAGCCAGCCCTGCTCACCCGCACACCTGCATCCCAGCCCAGGCCCTCCCTCGGAGGCCGCCTCATCAGGGCCCTGGGCTGAGGCATTTTCCAGGTGCTTTTACCGAGACCTCCTTCTTGGGGGCATCAGCTGAGACCTTTCTCCACTCTGACTCAGCCCCTTTCACTCCAGCCCCTCCCTGTCCCTCCCCCAGCCAGAGTCCATGAAGAGGCAGGAGCCTTTTATTTGGGGTCCCTTGACAGGGAGACTGTTCCCATCTGCAACATCTGCCCCTCATCCAGTGCCGTTCCATAAAATGGGGCACGGGGGAGCCTCGGCGCCTGGTCTTGCCTCCTGCAGGCTGCAGTGAATGAATAAAAGCTTTTCTGTCACTTCCAGCTTGGCTTGTTGTCCTAATTGACCACTCAGCACCTGGCAGCTCAGCGACTCACTTGTACACGGGAAGCTGCCGTGGGCCTTCCATTTGCCAGCCTAAGATCCCAGATCACTTAGCCTATCCTCACATAGTCTACTTTTCCTACCCTGTTTTCCAGTAAATTGCTCTTTTCTGGAATCATTCCAGTTATGAAATATCTCTTTTAAAACGCGGAAGCCAAAATTACACAATCTCTGCAGGTCTGGCCAAAGCGGCAAACGGCAGGCAGATTGGCTGTCTGTCCTCAGGTGTCCTAGTCCCATCTCAGCAGCGGGACATAACACAACGTTTCACTTGCTGACTTCTTCCCAGAGCTTTTTCTTTCAAGCCACAGTGAATTTCTTCCTTCTGCCTTCCTTGCAACCTCATATTTCATACATTTCCTGGTTGTGGGTGATTTCGTTTGCTCCTGCGAGCGGGATTTACTGCACACTCAGCTCGTGGGTCAGGCCCTGTCCTAGGACCCAGAGCCAGCACGGAACGAGACAGACAGGCTCCCTCCTCTCTGGAAAGGGGACATAAAGAATAAACCAGTGAACAAATGAACACAGGAATTTTTGATATGGAAAAGTGTCAAGATGAAAATAAAACAATGATGTCAGAGAGAGTGAGGAAGGGTAGTCAAGGAAATGGCGTTTAAGCCACGTCACGAATGACTCCTCTGCAAAGGGAACTGTAGGTGCAGATCTGCGTTAGAAACAGCTTGACGGGGTTGAGAAATAGAAAGCAGGCCCTGTGAGGGAAGTGACAGGGACCAACGAAGGGAGGAGGTCAGGGATGTGGTCAGGGCCTTTAAGCCAGGCAGCACTTAGACCCCATTGTAAGTGAGATAGGAAATCGCCTGGGTTTTGGGGGTGGGTGGTTTAGACAAAGGAGGAACATGATATGCTTTATGTTTTAAAAATTAGAATTGTAAGGCCGGGCGCAGTGGCTCACGCCTGTAATCCTAGCACTCTGGGAGGCCGAGGCGGGAGGATCATTTGAGCTCAGGAGTTCCAGACCAGCCTGAGCAAGAGTGAGACCCCGTCTCTACTAAAAATAGAAAGAAATTAATCGGACAACTAAAAATACATAGAAAAAATTAGCCGGGCATGGTGGCGCCCAGGTAGTCCCAGCTACCTGGGAGGCTGAGGCAGGAGGATTGCTTGAGCCCAGGAGTTTGAGGTTGCTGTGAGCTAGGCTGACGTCACGGCACTCTAGCCCGGGCAAAAGAGTGAGACTCTGTCTCAAACAAAACAAAACAAAACAAAATCAGAATTGTAGTTCCCAAGTGAAGAGCAGAGGGGAAGGTGGGGAACAAAAGTAGCAGCAGAAAGACCGAGTAAGTTCTAGGAAGCTGCCGAGTTGACAGGACTTCCCAACAGACAGGCGTAGGAACGAAGGAAAGAGGCAGCAAAGGTGGCGTCGACTCTCCCCAACAGAGCTCATTTTCAATCAAGGTCAGGCGGTCCTGCCCAATTCTGCAGGTGCTGCCGCACGCCAAGCACGGAAGGTGAAGGGAGGACAAAGAAATCGTGTGTTATTTCCGTTTATTTCCAAGCCTATAACGAACGCCATGTTCAGATGGCACACAAGGCTCCAGGCAGCAAAAATGAAGAAGACACAGTCCCTGTTCCTAAGGTGCTCACAGACCAGAGGGGGAAATAGGAAGTTACCCATGACTCAGATCAGTGAATAAGACCACAGGATCCCTCCTCTCAAGGCCCTGTGAATGAATTAATATTTATAAAGTGCTTACTACTTGCCAGGCATTACTTCAACCTCTACCTATCTACCTACCTATCTTAGATATGATTGATATATGTTAGATTTTTTTTTTTTTGATACAGGGTCTCACTCTGTGGCTCAGGCTAGAGTGCAGTGGGGTGATCACAGCTCACTGTAACCCCAAACTCCTGGGCTCAAGCGATCCTCCCGCCTCGGCCTCCCAAGTAGCTGGAACTACAGGTGCATGCCATTTCACCTGGTTAATTTTTCTATTTTTTGTAGAGACTCTTGCTCAGGCTGGTCTTGAACTCCTGCCCTCAAGCGATCCTCCCGCCTCTGCCTCCCAGAGTGCGAGGATTACAAGCTTGAGCCACCATGCTTGGCCCTTTGTCCATTTTTCAATTGAGTTATTTGTTTTTTATTATTGAATTGTGTGGGGGAGTTTTTTTTAAGTTGGACTTAATCTCTGGAAAACTTGAAGATCTCACTGTAGGGTGCTCTCACTTAGAAAAATGTGTAGTTACTCCTACAGGACACAAGGGGCCGCTACTAGCATGAGAAATTCATTTTTTAGCGGCAGGTGTCCCAGACCTGAGGGGTGGATTAGGGAGTAGGCACATTGTTCCTGGTTCACACACAAGGGAGCCAGATTTTATTCTTAAATGTTTTCCATCACAAAGGAGAGAGGCAGGGTTTCTTGTAGATCCCCTGCACTGGTGGGTGGAGGATTTCTAGTCTACCCTTTCACTGAAGGGGTAGCCCCTTCCTGGATCTATATAAATCTACTTAATTCATGAGTCTTGGTCTCATCTCCCCCGCTGGATGTGGACTCACTTTCTAATCTGTTCCCTGCGGTTTTTCAAATCACCAAGGTTGTGGAGTCAGCGTCTGCTCCGGGGCAGCCCCAGTTCTAACACTCTGGTTTATACTCGCTATTCCTTGTTTTGAGGTGTCCTTCGGAAGTTCTCTTACTTCTTGTAAAGTTAGCAATGGTTTTAAAATTACATTTATTATAATTGATCTTGAATCTGATTGGTTTCTAGTAGGAGGGCTCTACGTAAAATCTAGAGCACCAGGCTGCCAGAGAGGAAGTCAAGAAGACCAGTCTTGGCCCGGCGCGGTGGCTCACGCCTGTAAATCCTAGCTCTCTGGGAGGCCAAGGCGGGCGGATTGTTTGAGCTCAGGAGTTCAAAACCAGCCTGAGCAAGAGCGAGACCCCGTCTCTACTAAAAATTAGAAAGAAATTAATCAGACAACTAAAAATATATAGAAAAAAATTAGCCGGGCATGGTGGCGCATGCCTGTAGTCCCAGCTACTCGGGAGGCTGAGGCAGGAGAATCGCTTGAGCCCAGGAGTTTGAGGTTGCTGTGAGCTAGGATGAAGCCATGGCACTCTAGCCTGGGCAACACAGTGAGACTCTGTCTCAAAAAAAAAAAAAAAAGAAGACCAGTCTTCTTTTCTTCATTTATTCATTCACTCATTTGTTCAACTATTTATTGAGCACCTCTGTATACCAGCTCCGGTTTTGGTGATGAGCAATCCAGGCAGGGTCTCTGCTTCATGGAGCTCACAGTTTAGAGGAGAAACAGACATGACCAAAGAGTCCCACAAACGAGAGTGTGTCATTGCTGACCGAGGAAGGGAGATGACGTGAAAGCACAAGCCAGTGGTTCTCAACGTGTGGCCCGCACCTGCAGAGTCGGCAGCATCTGTGAATTTAGTGAAAGGCAAATTCCCGGGCCCTCCCCAAACCTACTGAATCAAAAACTTCAGGGTGGACCCAGCAATCTGCATTTTAACAAACCCTCCAGGGATTCTGAACAACTGGCATAAACCAAAGGAACCTGCCCTAGGCAGAGGTGCTGAGGAAGGTCTCCCAGCTGGGGTACTGAACCGACAGCTGACAGCAGTGAGGAGACCATGTGTAAACGTCCTGCGGTGGGAGGGAGCCCTGCAGGCCCCGATTCTGCAGAGTGACAGGAAGCCACTGGGGAGTGGGGTGACTTGATCAGAACTGCATTTCAAAAAGTTACATTACTTGTCCAGATTCGGGAGAGGACCAGGGCTGTGCTATTAGGATTGAAAAAAGGGGGAATGGGCCCCATAAAAGCTTTAAAAGCAAGTTTAACAGGAGTTAGGGGCTCCTTTGGTGCGGAAGTGGGAGAGGGAGCACTGCTCTGAGGCACCTGGCCGCGGAAGCAGAGGGCGTGCCTGCCCCAGCACTGCAGCAGGGGTGGGCTGGGGACACTCAGGTGCCTTGGGACGCCCCAGGATCCACGACCAGGAGCTCAGGAGCCTGGGCAGGCTGGAGACGCCAACTGAGTCCCATTTACAGAGTGAATCCTCTTAGCTCAGCTGTTGTGAGTCTGGTGAAAGTTATTTAAGCCAGAATCATCCCCAGGCCGGGTCATTCCCTGCTTTCCCCGCACATGTAGCTGTAGTGTCACTACACAGTCTCCTGGAATTTCTCCAGTTGTGGTCACTACTGTAAGTATGACATTTGTCAACACGAGTCCAGTGAGACACCATATAATAGTTCGCCCAAGTTGTAAGCTCTTTACGGGTGGCCCTCAGACATCACCCCCTGTAACCTCAAAGCAAGTTCACTGTTTGTTTTCTACTTCTTAGGGGTTTCTTCTATTTTTTCTTAGTTCTCAAAAGTAATGGCGATCTTGAATAACGTCCGTTAAATTTTTAAGCAATTTCACATGCATCTTATGACACCCTGCTGATTTAAAAACATCTAGATTATTTTTTTGGTTTAAAGATTTAATTGGCTTTTATTAATGACTGTAGAATTGGGCAATGTTTCATTCTTTAAAAAAGATTAGGTGTTCCAATAAGCTGAGCAGAGGGCGTTGGTTTTATAGGCAGAAAAGAGGTGAAGAAAGCAGAAACAGGGAACAAAAGCAGATCGGTCGTTTCAGACTTGCTAATATTTCACGTACAGGGTTAACACAGACGGGACTTCCTTACTACGCTGGCTTAGGTACAGGGGCCACTTCTATTTGCTGTGAATTTCCTATTTTTTAGAAAACTGGCCTGTTTCAAAATTCAATTTGATTATGCGTGACACCTAGCACAAGTGACTCCATTGTCTACTGGACCCAGTGTAGGAGCTCAGTCCAAACAACGGCCTCTCATACGTCTTGTTTAATGACATCTTTAAACGATCAGGAACCAGGATTAAAATGAGATGAATGAACAGTTGAGCAAATTATTTGGGAGCATCATCACTCAGGATTAGCCTCTAGCAAAACGCTATGAAATGTAGCTTTATATACTTAAATCCAGAAAATTCCATTACCCTTACTGCTGTTTGGCTTTCCCAGGAGCTCTCTCTCCCAAAGCCAGTCACTTTGGTTCCTCTCTTTGGAGCCTAGAGGCATCTCGTGGCCCCTCCTTCCACCTTCCTAAGAGTTTAGTCAAGTAAAGCCACTTAGTTAAACCAGATGAAGGCAGAAAAGCAAGCAAGCTGGGGTTTAAGGTAAGAGCTATAAATATCTGACACCTCTAATGGTGATACGTGTTTCTTTTCTTTTCTTTTTGGCTGGGAAAAAGAGAAAGGAAGGAGACACAGTGTTTAAGAGAATGCTGGGAATGTTATCTCAGTGAGTAACTAGTTATTCTTTGGCTTTTATTGTATCTTTTTGTCCCCCCTCCAACCTTAAAGCTTCCATTTCAGATTTTATACATTGTAGTGCACTTTTGTTTTTTCTTTCTGAAGCCCATAATTCAGTGGCAGAGGACAATGAGGGGGGAAATGGGAGAATTTAATGTACTGGGCTGCTTTACCCATCGTGTGAATAATTTCCTTTTTGAACAATAAACATTTATTGTCTTACATAGTTTTTAAGGTCCAGAAGTCTGGAATGGCTAAGCTGGGTAGTTATGGCTCAGGGTCTCCCACAAGGTTGCAGTCATGATGTTGGCCTGAGCCGCTATCATCTGAACGCTTGACTGGGGAAAGATCCACTTTCTTTTTTTAAAATTTTATTTCAGAGTATTATGGGGAAAACATCTAGATTTTAGAAATATCTTCATTGGGAGGCCAAGGTGGGAGGATCACTTGAGGCCAGGAGTTCAAGACCCGCCTGGGCAACATAGCAAGACCTCATCTCTACAAAAAATAAAAAATAAAATGAGCCGGGCATGGTGAGGCACATCTGTCATCCCAGCTACTCAGGAGGCTGAGACAGGAGGATTGCTTGAGCCCAGGAGTTTGAAGCTGCAGTGAGCTAGGATCCCGCCACTGCACTCCAGCCTGGGCGACAGAGGAAGACCCTGTCTCTAAAAAAATAAAAAATAAAATAAAAATATCTTTAGCCCCTTCTTCCCCATCTTTGTCTCCAGCAGTCTGCGGCACGCCATCCGGGCAAGGAGAGCTCCGATGAGCACAGGAAGGGAGCTGGTCCCGGCAGTTCCAGCCCAAGGGAATCTGAACTTAGGTGTCACGTGGGAGACAGCCACAGTGCCCAGGCAGAGCAGAGAAGCAAAGCAGCGGGGCGCTGGAGTTGGGGGCTTGGATGCATCCAGGCAAGTCACGTGACTTACTAGCTCTGTAGCCTGGGACGAGCCACATAATGTCTCTGAGCCGAGGCTGCCTGCTCTGTAGACTGTGACGATAATACTGCCATAGTTTCTGTAGGGAGTTCCTGGTAAACGGCAGTAACTTCAGGAATCCAGGTCACCATGAGGTAGACTCAGGTTGACCTCAGACCAGATTGGGACATTAGTGGGTACAAACTAACCTCAGCTTTATTGTCATTAAAATAACCCTCTCAGCTGGCTCTCTGTTCCCACTTAGCAATTGAGATGGGCAAACAAGTGCCATCGGCTAGGGGTGGGCAAGGCAGACACCCCAACTTCTGGCACCACTCCATGGCAGATCACCTCAAGACAGGTCAGGGCAGGCAATCAGGGCCTGGGAGGTTCAGTGGACAGGTGTGTGCGGCGGGCCCAGGGAAGCAGGTGTTTGCAACCGGAGTGGGGTGAGATGGCCCGGAGTGCAATGGGCACTTCACTTAACGAGCATTTATTGGACACGTGCTGGGGAACGCTCAGGAGTACAACTCCCACCTAGGGGAGCTCACCACGGTCCGGTGGGGAAGTCGAGAAGCGAACCAACAACTCCAAGGAAGCGCAGGCAGCACCATGATCCAGGAATGTGAGCGAGGTGTCTGAACCCCAAAGCCAGCCTGGGCTTGGGGGAGGAGCCGAGGAAGGACTCCAGGGGACAGTGCTCAGCCTGGGTCTTGGAGAAGAATGGGGTCAGCCAGGCACTGCACACTGCTGGTCAGGAGGGAATAAGCCTTCCAGGCCAGGGTGATGACAGAACACAGCTTGTTCGGGGTCCGGGAAGCCACTAAGGGATAGCAAAGCCTCGTGGGCAGGAGGGCCCTGGTGGTGGAGGGGTTTGGGCTTTTTCCTGAGCGTGGTGGGAGCCTCCAAAGGATTCTGAGTCGCAGAAGGGCACGGTTTGAAAGGGGAGGTGGAGGCAGCAGGGCTGGGATGGTGCCAGCGGCAGAGCCTCCAGAGCTCTTCAGGAGGCGCGGGGACTGCGGCGCTTAGCACGCTGGCCAGGCTGCGTGAGCCCTGCTCTCTGCTTCACGACTTCACGGAGGCTGAGCCCAGCACCACTGGCTTCCTGGTGTCTCCACAGCCCAGTCTGGGCCGCTGGGAGGTGCCTTGATTCAGAAGAGCTGAGCCTCATGCGTTTGAATTACAAACTATGCTTCCAAATTGGTTGAGATTTCAGCTCCATCTCAAACTGGCAGGCGGGCGCTGGGCCTGCCAGGGAGCTACTGGCATCGCACGGCCAGGCTCATCCCCACCAGCGTAGGAGATATTCGTAGCTGAGGAAGGTGACAGCGTTGACAGGAAAGGCACGGGCACTGTTGATGGTGATGCCCCGGAAGAAGACCCCCAGGCCTTCCTGCCGGACGCTGCTCACCATGCAGTCCAGCACACCCTGGTACGCCCTCCGCTTCAGCCCGTCCATCTGCATCCGGGACTTGATCACGTCTAAGGGCGTGGCTGCGACCCAGGACGTGATGCCGGCAAAGCCCCCTGCCACAAGCACTGTGGCTGAGCCTGGGGCAGAGGGAGCCCAGGTAGGGTCAGACCTGGAACCGAGCATCTCCCCAGTCCCCAGTGCTCAGTCCCCCTCCCCAGCCTTCACAGTCCAGCCCACCGGCGACCTACACCTCTCCGTCCCCCACCCTCATGCTGCTCTACTTACTAGGATTCTGGCCCTCTGGTGTACACTGGCGACACAGCACTTCATAGGTGACAAAGTAGATTCCCATTGTAGGGGTGTCCCTCAGTGTCAGGGCCCAGGCTCCTTGGAACAGCCCCCGGGGCCCCTCCTTCTGGAAGATGGAGGCTGCACAGTGCATGGGTCCCCGGTACCGGGGTGGGGGGCCCCCCAGCTGGGCCCTCGGCTCTGTCTGGTTTTGTAGCCGGACTTTGATGAGATCAAAAGGGGCCAGGAAGTAGGCCTGTGGGGAAGGAAACGTGAATGCCCTGGGTGGGGCTTTGGGCTGGGAACCATTGGCTTATGTTAAGCAGAGGCAGGGGAAGGGCAGAGGGCAGCACCTTCCCAGAGGAGCCATGTTGGCTCCTGCTGCCAGCATGCAGCCTCTCGCATACACGGCTGGGCATGGGCCAGGACGTCTGCATGCAATGGGGACAGGCCACCTCCCTTAGCATCAGGCCTCTGTCAGCAAGCAGCACTGCCCCCTCCTCATGCAACAGTGCCGAACTCGCCTGGCAGGCACCCGGGACTCGGGACCAAGCCTGGACTCTTTCCAGGAGCGGGGGTTCATTTCTGGCCTCCCTAAAGCCCAGCACGACTGGCTTCCTGCACCCCACTGGCATCTCCCCAGCCCTGTCTAGGTGGAAGGGAGGTGCCTTGCAGCAGATGGGACACAGATCTGGGTCGGTATTGCGACTGGGCCCTGGGTGAGGGTTGGTGCTGGGGGATGTGGACGGAGACCATGCGGGGTCTAAGGTTTGAGTCAGGGATGTGACTAGGTCAAGGTCACTGTTGAAGTCCAGGTGAGAATGGAGGTCCAGGCTGAGGTTAGCACACCGCTGGGGGGGTTTGGGCGTGGATGTGGTTTTTGCTTTGTGTGTGTTTTGTTAAAGGTACATGAGCTCAGTTCCTCAGTCCAAGAGACGGCTGATGGCAGAGGGGGCCGGCAGTCACCTCTGGCAGTGGTCTTTAGAGTGTGACAAGCTGAGTCTTTTTTTACTTCCCCCCCGGGGCTGGGAGGTTAGTGGCTTGGGGACTGGCCCACGGGTTGGGGACCATTCAATGTGAGACGCGACCTTGGTGCTGCCTTTAGAGCCTGGTGGCAGGGCTGTGCTGAGGGCTTCCCTGGGGGGTGTTCTCCTGAGCCCTGGGCTCCTGGGGGTGAGGAAGGGCTGGCCAAAGGCAGGGTGGCAGATGGCGCCCATGTGGGGGAGATGGAGCACCAGACCCTACTTCACTGTTTGGCCAGGTCAGCCTCAGCCAAGTCCAAGGCAATGTCTGTGCCCATCAGAGGATGTCAATCCCTGCCTCTTCTTGCCTCCTCCACATTAAAACATATTTTTGTGCCAAGACCCTGTTAAATGGAAACCCAGGCTCCAGTTGGCCCCCAGCCCCATCAGCGGCCCTGACCGTCCAGGCTCTGTTTGCCACAGAGCTGCAGGGGAGGGCAGCCTACAACCGGGCCTGGCTGGGCCTGGATCAGCCTCATAGCCCAGGGTCTCAGTTCTCTTCCTTGTTTTGGGGGGGTTGCAGGTCTTGGGGCTTAGAAAAAATGTAGGCATGCGCCTTGTACAAAAATGGGCAGAAGAAAAGCCATTAATCTCATTAATCATTAATTCATTTGAATGAGCAACCCGACTTTGTCCTTTGTCCTTGCTCTCTGCCGCATGAAGTATGTCAGGGGCGTCAGGGCTGACAGCCAATAGAGGTGACCCAGGTGCCCGGCTGGGGTGCGAGAAGGAGCCGCGTGCTCATCCCTCTGCCTCTCTAAGCTCAGAGGCCCCACTCAGCTCTGTTCCCATTGGTGCCTACAGGTCCCTCTTTCCTCCACCCTCCCCAACAACCCTAGCTCTACGGTGCTGAGAACAAAGACCAAAACCAAATGACTGGAGTGACTTAATGATGGATACCCCAGACCTCTCCCACGAGAGCTGTCTCCCAGGTAGCTGCCACCCTCGCCCTGCAGGCAAAGGGCTGCGCTGGGTAGGGTGGAGACGTGCCAGGACCACATCAGGACCAGGCCAGAGGGGCTGGGCTCACAGCTCTGCTGGACCCAGCAGCTCTCCAGGGTCTAAGGTCTGCTGGGGAGTGGTATTCCCATAGCTCTGGGGCTGGCAGATGCCCCGGGAGGTGGGCAAGCCCTGACAGCCTGAGAGTGGGGCATGGCTGCTTCTCCATGGCATCCTCCTGGCACTGCTCCCCAGCCCCAGCACCTGCAGCCTGGAAGGCCACAGCACAGTCAGGCCAGGTCATCAGAGCCATGCCTCACGTTCCCCTAAGGAAGGCCTGCCCATCCACAGCTGTGGGTCACCGGAGGGGGATGGGATGGGACAGATCGAGCTGACCATCATTGTGCCCATGTGCCCATGCGCTGCCCTCTCACCTGCAGGAACCCCCCAGTGCAGCCTGCTATGAAGACGTGTGTGTAGCTGGGCGGCTGGGCCCACCGCTCCTGGTGGGAGGTTGCAGTGAGTGCCAGCAGGGAGTTGCTGTAGACCCCAAACAGCACGGAGTTGACCAGGGCTATGCTCGCGATGGGAAAGCTCATGCCCTTGAAGAAGCCCAGCAGCTGCAGGGAGACACAGCGACACTAGAGGAGGTGCTGGGGGGCCTCCCCTTTGCCCTTTCCAGGCCTGGCAAGGCCATCTCTGGCTGGAAACCACTCCCGAGCCCTGCCACAGCAAGGTGGGGACAGGCTGAGGCTGGGGAAGGCCTTGGCTCCACTCTTGGGATGGTAAGCTACCACCAAGTCCCCCAAGGGTCCCAGACTTGGGTTGTCTCTCCTCCAGAAGCAAAGCCCTGCTGAGGAGGAGAAGGAAGTTGGTACCAAACACCCCAGATGCCTCCTACCCGAAAGAAGCAGGCCACCCACCGACTCATGGCGGTAAATCTTCACCATGCAATCAATGATGCCCCGGTACGTGGTCTGGGTCTGCAGCCGCACCTGGATGGGGAGGACAGAGCAGGTGGGTGGAGGGGCAGGTGGGCAGCCCACTCTTCCCTCTGGCCCAGGAGCAGCGTGCCAGAGGCAGGAGAGGCAGGAAGAGCCTCCACTAGCCAGGCCTGATCTCAGGGCACCCTTACATTTGGTTTGGGTGAGATCTTTCATTCTTCAGGTGCGTCTCCTAAACTCACCTTCACAGTATCAAAGGGGTGTCCCAGAACCAAGCCCAGAGCTCCTGTGGTGACAAGAAGATGCTGTAAGTATGGGCCTCATGCCAGGCCCAGGGCGCAAGTCTGTGCTGAAAGGAAAGAGGGATTTAGGCAGGAGGAAGGAGGGCAGGACCTTCTCAGACATGTGCAGCCATCTTCCTGCCAGACTCCAGAGAAACTCCGGCTGTCCCCTACCCCGTCCACACGGGGCTGGAAGGCATTGGGACAGGGAGTGAGGCCCCAGCCCACCTGAGAACACACACCCAGAAGTGAAGAGCCAACCAAAGACGCATGTGTCCTTGGCTGGGAGTGAACCCCCGAGTGTCCTGCTGCTTATGAATGGTGGGACTCTGGACGAGTCTCCAATGCTCCCGCCTCCTGCCAGCTTCACTCGTTCCTTCCTTCAATTCATAAGGTTGTTGCCTTGATCCAGAGCAGGCCGCGCCTCCGGTCAGCAGGGCAGAGCTGGAGGGCCCTTTCGGGAGGCATGCTGGCCCTTGGACAGGGCCTCGGCACCCCCCACTCCCCAGCCCTAGTCTTCTCCTCCACAGCGGGGCTGGTTCTGGAGCTTGGAGGAGGTCTCATCTGAAGGAGGCAGGTTCAGAATGTCCCTCCCTCCTAAGAGGAATGTCACCCAGAAGCTGGGCTGGGTCCACAAGCACAGGAGCCCTCCTCAGGGGCCAGGAGTGCAACCCCTTGCCAGGTGGGGCAGAGGCCAAAGGGAACTCAGGATAGCAGGTGAGGTCAAAGGTGAACTTCCTTTCTGACCTCCACAGGGTGGGCCTGGAGATGGGGGCTCGAGGCACAGGGTGCTCCCTCGGGAGGCAACAAGGCCTTGGATGTACCAGCAGCACCTCCTCTCCCCACCCCACGCCTTCCTCTCCTCTCTCTGCCCGCCACTCTCAGGAGGCTCTGGGGACAGCCAACTCTGGGGTGCTCCAGGTGAACTCAGACTTTGGCCTCAGCACCTCATGTCACCCACCTTCCCCAGGAAGTGACCTACCTGGGTGGGAAGTGACAAAAGGAAAGAAAATGTCTCACCAGAGACCCAGCCAGCCACGAACTCCTCCACAGGCATCGTCCGGGCTCCGTGGGAACCGGCAGCTGCAGCGGAGAGACAGTGAAGGTTGAATTCCCCCTCGCCCGCCCCGTACACGTGGATAACCTCCCGCTAATGTTTAACCCTGGCTGGAGGGTGAGAAGTGGCCTAGTACCCAGACCTGGGGTGATGACTGGGAGAGGGGAGCCAGCCAACTCTGGTGACCCTGAGACTGGAGGGGGTGTGCAGAGCGGGGAATCTCACAGGCCAGGGGTGACAGATGGAACCACAGAGGTCTGATCCCCCAGCCCCAGCAATGAGGATGCTGGGGGTGGCAACCCGGTCCCAGCTCCCTGGTCAGGCCTCTCCAGGGCTGCCCTCAGCTGTCAGTGACGGGGAGGCCTTGCCGGCCCATCCTAGCCCAGCCCCCCTCCTGTGTTCACAACAATTGCCAGGCCGCCTTACCCCGCCTCCACCCACCCAGGCCCGCAGGCCAGTGGGGATGGCGCATAGCCACCAGGGGGCAGGCCCAGCCCACAGTTGCCTGTGGCATGGGGTAGCTGCCCCAGCCAGGGCAGCGGGGACACAGGCTGGGGCACAGCCCGGGAGGAGCCGCTCCCAGGAGTGACTCACCAGGCCGGAAGCTGTTCTCCCAGAGTTGTTTACAACTCCCGTGTGTGAGTCAAAGACAGCCTGCCTAGGCCTCTTCTTTCCCAGGGGAAAGATGAGGGCTTGGCGACGTAAAGAGTCCTGTGTCTCTCTGCAAGGGCCGGTCCCGCTCAAAGCCAAAACTGAAATCCTTCCTAGGCTCACGGAGCCGCAGGCACCGCCCATTCTCCTCTGACCTCACATCCAGCCACCCCTGGCCTCCTGACTCTGGGCCTAGCACTGGCTGTTCCCTCTTCCTGGACACTCTCAGCCTGCCCACCTCAACCCCCCTCACCTGCTCCTCGGTGAGCGCCCCCCCACCACAACGTTGCAGTCTGCCCCGCCCCCCAGCAGTCAGCACCTGGCTCTTCCTCTTCTTCCTCCCATCACACTCATCCCCTCTGACCCGTGATGTATCCCCATCTGCCAGGCAGGGATCTCTGGCTGTTTTGCTCACTAATGTATCTCAAAGGCTTAGAATAGTGGGTGGCACAGGGTGGGCACTCAATAAATATTCTGTCTCTAAAAAATAACAAATATTGAGCGAACGAACGAATGGAAAAGTCAGGGAGTGGCATCAGTGGCCAGCCCTGGGGTTTTGGTCCTCTCCTGGCATTGCCAAAGGGCCCTGAGAACATAAAAGTCCAACAGTACCCCCACCCTCCCCTCCAGATCTCGTTGAAGCTGTTAGTTTCCTATCAGATGCCAAGGCCCAGTCCTGCTCACCCTCCTCTCTCTCTGTGACTACTATCTCATGTGGGTGGCAGGTTCTAGAAGGCAGGGTATCATCTCCGATCTCCTGCCCCTAGAACTGCCTAGGGCTCTTTGGGCCACCCTAAAGACCATCCCAAGGCCTGGCCTCATGGTGGGTTGGCTGCAGTCCTAATTCTGCCTCTTGTTCTCTTCCTGAGTGGCATTGGGCAACCCCTTGTGTGAGACTTGGGGTCCTTTATTGTTTGTCAGAGTAGGGCACTGGGCCGGCTAACTGCCAACGTCTGAGCCTCCTCGGCTCTAAAGGCTGCAGGGCCCCTCCTCCCTCACTCCAGAATGGGCCCCATTCTCTCCTCCAATCTCACCGCCCACCCCTGCTCAAGAGAGACCCTCATTCCCACTTCCCTAGAGCATTGCAGAAGAGAAGCTCCCCCACGCTTGGCACAGCAGAGCTCTTGCCTCGTCACTCTCTAGCTCACAACCTCTAAGACGTCCTCACTGCCTGAAAAACCTGCCCTATACCCTTCACCCTGGGTTTCAGGGTCCCAGCCTTGGTGCACCCCACCTGCTGTGCTCCTATGCAGCAGGGTCTTTCCTGGTCCTAACCATGCATCTGTGGCTACCTGGAATGCCTTTCCTTCCCCACCCTGCCAGCTGGCACACTACTCAGCCTTCCAGCTCTCCTCCAAGGCCCCCCTCAGTTAGACCCCGGTTCCAGCCTCTCCGCCGCCACCACACACACTGGCAGATGTCAGCCTTTTTATTTAATCTTTCCAATCCTGTTTTCTCATTCATAAAACAGAGATATAAAACTCATCTCTTACTGTGTTATAAGGATTAAAGCACTTAGAACAGTGGCTGGCACATATACAGTAGCTGCTAATGCTCTTATTTCCACTCGCAGGACACATGAGGATGACATGAGGGAACACCCAGGAAAGGGCCTGGCTCAGCAGCCAGCACACAGGAATTGAGGACCCTCCTCTTCCTGCTTGTAGCATTTTGTAGCTTTTAAGGCAATACTGTCATCCTCTGTAGTTTTAAATATGCTGTTCTCCTGGGCTTCTTTCTCTCTGCCCTCTTCCTCCACTCCCCAGTGAAACCCTAACGTACATTTCCCAAGGGCAGGGACTGTATCTCACTTCGGTCTCCACCCCCTGACCTGGCACAGGCCCTGCACCCAGCAAGCACCCAACAACACTGAACTATGTTCCCACTTCGCTCTGGCTGAGTGAACAGAAGGAACAGAAGGAAGGGCCTGAAGAAAAAAAATTTTTTTTCTGTCTCTTTAAAACTTCCCCTACTCTTTTTGGGAACTGTGGCCTGTCCTGCATCACTGAGGCAGGTTAAGTCCTTTTTTAAAAGAGATAACTTGGCCATCCCAGGCAGCACCTGCCCCCCAGGCGGGTGGCTGGCGGAGGTCACAGGCTTTGTCTTTGGCAGAGATGGGACGATTAGTATAGTTAACCACAGTAGCCTAGAACTGAGGGGCCCTCCCTTTAAAAGCTTTGTATTTCTGCTTATGTCCAGGAAAATTTGGATTTTGAGACGAGAAGGTCTGCTATTGCTCCTCCTTTACTGGCAAAGTAATAAACTTCTCTTTCCTTCCCGTCAAACCACTTGCCCTTGTTCTTCTGATTTGGCCTCCTGGAGAAGTGCTGAGTTTTTGGTAACACAGCTGGTTCTGGGAGGCCACGGAGCCACTGAGTCCTGGTCTGAGGGTCCCAGAGCTGAGAACCGGAGGGAGACACCTGCCCCTGCTGCACACTCTTCTCTGCAGTGCACATCTGCGCCTCCTCCAGCCCTTAGGTCACATCAGCAAGGCAGTTGTAATGGGCTCTGTGGGGCCATGTTGGTCCTGGAGGAGCAGCAAAGAGCTGGTTCCAACACTGAAGATTGGGCTGTGCCAGGAGCCAGAGCTGCTTTCCAATCCCAGGGAATCAGGGTAAGGTGAACCCACTGCCCCCTGTTCCAGACCACCAAGCCCACTGTTGTCACTTGGAACAGTTTCTGGTTCCTCTGGCTCAGGACGGCGCCCCATGGACCTGTTCCACGAGTCAGGTACACACATGCTGACATTGCCAGGACATGTTGGGGATATAGCCCTGGGGATAAATGGTTTCACACCAGTCTCTTCAGGGCCCCAACATCTCTTCCCAGCCTAGGAATACCTCAAGGTCTCCGTGGCTGCGTGTGTAAGATAGCGAGGGCTCATGTGACTGCTCCCTGGAAAAAAAAGTGTGTCTGGCCTGGGTTTCTGACATACACCTATAATTTGAGAGTGAGAAGGGTCCTTGGAAGTCATTGAGTCCAACCTCCTCATTTTACAGATGAGGAAACTGAGGCCCGGAGAGGACGGGACTTGTCCAGGACGAGTCAGGGGCAGGACAGTCTCCCGACCACAGGCCAGCGCCCATCGCCCTTCACGGCCTGGGGGGCGCTCCAGTACAGGCTGCTGCCTGCGTCACCTTTACCCAGGGCCCAGCAGCGCGGTTCCCTGCCACGTCCCAGGAAGCATCTCCGTTTCAAAAGACTGGCCCAAAGTCACACGGCGAGTAAGTGCCAGAGATCGCGCCCCAGCCCCGATTTTCTTGAATCTTCGCCACACCCTGTTACAGGCCAATGATCGGGACCTGTGTGAGGGTAACTTGCCCTGGGCCACTCGGGTTGGTGGCAAGGGTGGTTCGTGACGCGTCCACCCCTAAGGTGTGGCCAGAAACGCGGGGTGCTTGTCTCGGGGCGTCTGGGCATGCGCGGGTCCACGGGGGGGGGTTGTGAGCGCGGGGGCGCCGGCAGGGCGCGTGCGCGGCGGCCCCGGGCTCCGATTGGCTCCCGCGGACCGGGGGCGGGGTCCTGTGTGCCGCGCTTCCTCCGGCTGTGGCTTCCGCATCGCAGCCTCAGCGGCTGGGTTCCTAGCGGCAGCCGGAGCTCCGGCGGTGGCCCGCTCGGCGGCAGGGCTGGAGCCGGAGCTAGGAGCGGGAGTCAGGACAGGAGTCTGGCCTGAGGCGGCTGCGTCCCTGCGAGGTGAGAGCGTGGCGACGCCCTACCCCGGCCCCCGCCCTCGGATGGGGGTGCGCGCCTTGCTCTGCCTGGGCATCCCGGCAAGCGGAGATTCGACCTTTGCTATTGACAGTCGCAGCCCTGACTCCTCCCACCAGCCCTGACCTCGAGTGGGCCGAGGGACACCCCCACCCATGTCTGCACACTCGGTCCCACCAGCCAGCCTTGCAGACCCAGCCCGGGACCCCTTCCCTTACTCATTGAGAATTTGAGGAGACGCTCACCTCCTCATCCCTGGACCCCCAGTAAGTGCTGTTTTTCTTTCCCTTTGCAGATGGACGGGACAGAAGGCAGTGCCGGGCAGCCCGGCCCCGCTGAGCGATCCCACCGAAGCAGCGTGTCCTCCGTGGGAGCCCGAGGTGGGTCCCTGTCCGCATCTCCTCCCCTGCATACCCTCCTGGGACCCCACCCTTGGGGAAGTGGCTCTGGCTTTTTTTCTTTTTCACTAAAGATAATCTTACATATCACTTAAGAAATAAGGTACTTTAAGATATGGAAAACTCACAGAAGTCAGAGCAAGCACCTGAACTCTGTCACTAGCTTAGTGGTCAAGTGACGTCCTCTTCTTGAACCTCACTCTCTCATTTGTAAAATGGGCATGTCTCACGTAGCTGTGAAATTCAACTGAGATCACAGGAATGAAAAGTGACACACTTGCTTTCTTTGTTTCTTTTCTTTCTCACAAACAGCCTTTTGAAAGCAGGGATCATTCTTTGTTTTATGGGGAGGAAATTGGAGCCTTGAGAGGTAAAGTCACAAGCTATTGAAGCCTTCCAGGTGATCACATATGTGACCCTTCAGTGCCTCAGTTCTCCCTGCCTGACAGGTGGAACTGAACCTCAGCCTCCCTGAGATGATGTTCCGGTCTCTCACAGTAGCTGTTAGAGCGCAACAGACAGCGGTTTAAGAAGCAGCTTCACTTGTATTAACAATAAGCTGCGCCCTTCCCTTTCACAGGCTTCACCTGTGAGGCTTCACCTCTTTTGATTTACAGCCGCTCTTTGAGGAGGGCTATTAGCTCTGCTTTGACAGATGAGGCCACTGACACTCAAGCTGACTTGCTGGAGTCAGCCAGCGAGCCCGAGACCAGGCAGGGATTGGAACCCGATTATGTCGGCCTCCGAGCTCAGTGTTCCTTCACCATGCCGGCAGTTCCAGGGATGGGGATTTGAATCTGACTGCTCTTCCAAGACTCTCCCTTTGGCTCTAGGCTCCAAATGGAAGTCCCACAGGTTGTCACAGGGAACACTCAGCTGTATGGGTTGTGCTTCCCTAGCCTGCTTAAGGCTGTCTGAAAGGCCCCAGCATTGACTCCTGAGGCTTGGAGAGTCCTAAGGAAGCTAAGACCTGGAATTTGCGTTAACCTGGGGTAACCTAAGGAATTTTCTGGTCCCATCTGAGCCTGGGCCACAGCCTAGGGCAACAATGGGTCACCAGCTCTCCCCCCTCCCACCCTGACGGACTAACTTCTGTAACCTCAGGTTCAGCCTATCTCTGCTTTAGTTCTCCACCTATGGAATGTTCTCATTCAGGGCAGAAGCACAGCAGAGTCCTTGGGCTGCCATGGGATTTGGGGGCGTGGGCACTGCAGTGGCCAGCCCTAATTTGAACCTTGGGGATTGGGGTGGGGCTAGTCTGTGGGCCAGAGTTGCTGGGTTTCTGGGTGGTTTGAGTGTCTCAGAGTCCTAATACGTACCACTTTTCAACAGAATCCTTTGGGGATGCTGGGGTTCCTGCCTCAGGAGTGTAGCTTTGGTCACCCCCGAGGGCCATAGGGTAAAGGCTCCAGCCCCATTGGGTGGTGGAGGGTGCCTGTTTGCCTGTCTGTGCCTGGACAGTGGGCCTCAGCTGACCCTGCCTGACCTCCATCGCAGCAGCCGATGTGCTGGTGTACCTGGCGGATGACACAGTGGTGCCCCTGGCTGTGGAGAACCTGCCCTCACTGAGTGCCCACGAGCTGCACCGTGCAGTCCGTGAGGTCCTGCGCCTCCCAGACATCGCCCTGGATGCCTTCGCCCTCTGGCTTGTCTCCCCTCTGCTGGGTAAGGCTGGGCAGCGAGACGCCCGGGTTGGAGGATTGGAAAGGCACTGATCAGTGCGGGAGGGAGGGGGCAGCTTCCGGAACCTCTGGCTGCTACACATCAGGGGAAGGTAGGACTTGTCTGTGTCCTGAGAAGACTCCTGGCTCCTCTGCCCCCTGCCACCTTTCTTTCTGCTGGTGGCAGAGGAGCAGCCAGTCTGCCCCTCACCTTAGCATGTTGGAGCCTGGGCATAGGAAGGAGCAGGACCATGGGGGCAGGAGGGAAGGGGCCATGTTCACTGAGCACCGGTCTGTGCCACAACCCTGGCTGGCGCTTCTTGAGCATGATTTTGCTTTATCCTTGGCCCAGGCCCGTCTTGTAGATGAGGAAGTCGAGTCTTAGAGTGGTCAGACTACTGAGTGGTAGGACCAGGATAGAACCTGGGTGGCCTCCAGCAGGCCTCCTTGAACTGTATCCTATTCCCTGGGGACAGGGAGGAGAGGGACACAGCCCAGGAAGCAGCTCCCTCTGAGCTTGAGGCTCTTGCTGAGGGTGGGGAGGGCAGGAAGACTGGACATGTCTCTGCAGGGGGGCTCCAGCCCTGCCTGCTGTCTGGCCCTGTGACCACCCACGTCCTGCCCTTTCAGGCAGAGATTCCAAGGTTGAGTGGGCGTGGGGGCAGTGACTCTCAGACCCTTAAGCCAGGATCCCTGGGTGAATAGGGTCTCTGAGCCTACTGGCTTGGACAGGAAGGGGGACAGGAGAGGATGCCCTATGTTGTCATTTAGGAAAGTAAATTGGTGATTGATGCCAGGGCCAGGCATGTTTTCTGAGCTTAAATATTCTCCTTGTTGTAGAGGAACAGGGTGGGGGACAAACGGGGTGACCAGTTTCATGGAGAGTGAGCAGGACAGCCTGGCCAGCCAAGGGGCCCCCAGTGGTTGTTTCCTCTCCTGAGGCCACTGGGGTCTGCCTGTACCCCAGAGAGGAGATCTCAGCCAGCCCAGTAGGAGAGAAGGAGCCCCAGCACCCCCTGGCCGCCCATCCTCCTCCCCTTACCCCCGCAGTTGGAGCTTCCTGCCCAGCTGCTGCTCGGAGGCCCTTGCGCACCGTCTTCCTGCTGACCCGTCTCCTCTGGCTGCCCCACACGCCGCCAGGCGCCCCTCCTTCACCTCCTGCTGTTGGTCAGGGCTGGCTGGGGGGTTACATGTGGGCGGCCCCTGGCCTGCCTCGGGAGGCTCCCAGTGCAGGGCTGGGGCTGGGCAGCTCACTTCCTCCCACTCCTCCTCATGCATTCCTGCTCCCCCTCGGCAAGAGCAGGAACGGGCTGCCTGTGTGGCCTGAGAGAGGCCAGCACAGTCAGCACCTACCTTGTCCCTGGGCTGGGTTCCGGGAGACTGAAAGGCTGCTTCAGCTTTGACTCGGGCTCCCTAGAACCTTTGGCCTCCCCCCACCCCCAGACCGGGTGATGCAGTGACAGATGCTCTGGGGCTGCGCGCACCCTGCATGACAGGGGGTGCCATCTGCTAGAGCTGCCCTTCATGCCAGCTGTTTTGGAAGGGGTTGGCCTTCTCGGTGCCATTGTCACTCTGCGTGGAACAGGACTCCAGGGACTGTCAGTCTCTTTTGGGTGACAGCCTCCAGGCAGGAAGGCCTGTCTGGTGATTCACAGGACTACTGGGTCAGCATAGTCCTGTTCTAACGACGAGAGTCCTCTGAGCTGCTGGGGCTCAGGGTCAAGGCTGTCCAGGGCTGGGCTGCAGGCAAGAGGAAGGACATCCTTGTCCTGGGTCTCCCTTCCCCCCGGTGTGTCCAGTGGGTCCCAGCTAATCAGTTACCTTGTTCATTCTGCAAGGATATGGAAAGCCTCCCTCATGCCGGGCAATGTTCCTGATGCTGGGGGTATAGCTGTCACTGTTCCTGTATGGGCGTAGTTTCCCACCTGCAAAGTAGGTGATCTCTGTGTCCTCCAGCCCTGCGGGTCTCCAGGTGGAGCTAGCATGGGCCAAGGGGCTGAGGGGCTGAGCGGGCGGGGTTGAGGGAGCCCTTTCTGTAGGGGAGAGGAAGGCGGCTGTTGGGGGCAAATGGCACATTTCCCTGGGTTGGTGGTGACAGATGAGTGGGGCCACAGACCTAGGTTGGAAATGAGGGCTGTGGAGCCTCTGGAAAATCTGGATTAGAAACAGTGGGACAAGAAAAAGAAAAAAAAAAAGAAAGAAACAGCAGGGCAAGAAAGGGCTGAAGAAGCTGGAAGCGGGGGTTGCGTAGAACAGGCTGTGGCTGCTGTTTGGGGTTAAGATCAGGGTCCAGATGGAAGAAGGTCTGGATGGTCCAAAGAACAGAGATGGCCCTTGTCATCAGGCTGGCAGGACAAGGCACTCAGGACTGGGGGGCAGGGCGGAGGGGTGAGTGGGGAGATGCAGGTCAGAGGGGGCTCGGAGGCAGGGTGGAAGTACAAAACGGCGGGTGTTTTGCCGCCCCCTTCCCCGCCAAACCCAGATATCCCCATTCATCTCACCCCTCTCAGAGGCTGCACGGCAGGCAGCCGCTGTCAGTTGGTGGGTGCTGGTGCACGAGCTAAAACCACTTTATCCTTCCTGGCCTGAGGTGTTGCGTCCTGAATCCAGAGCAGTGGCGGTGTCAGGCCACAGCCTGAGTTCCAGGGGCTGCAGCAGTGAGCTCAGTCATTCTGCCAATCCGTGGTGAGGCCCGCTACGTGCCAGGGGTACAGCAGGCCTGCCGTGTGGCACTCATAGGCTAGTGTGGTGGAGGCAGCAAGAGGGGTGCCGGGGTGATAAATGCTACGGAGGCAAGTGGATGACAGTGCAATCCATGTGACAGAAAGTTTTGAGGAGGAGCTGCCTGAGTTAGGGATCCAGGGAAGGTGACGCTTGAGCTAAGACCTGAACCAGCAGCCATGTGAGGATCTGGGGCAAGGGTGACCCAAGGCAGGAGGAACAAGCACAAAGGCCCCGAGGCACACATAAGCTGGAAATATGCAAGCAATTTAAGAAGGCCAGTGTGGCAGGAGCAGAGTAGGACAGGAAGCAGAGAAGAAAGTGAGGTGGGAGGGCCAGGTGGGAGCGGGAACTTGCAGGACAGAGGGTCAGCTGGAGCTCCCGGGGAGATGCTGGGATGGGGACTGACAAGGGGGAGGCCCAGGCTCTGCCAGAGGCAGGGGAGGGTAGCTTCAGGTTCTGCTACCTAATGGCAGCGTGGGTCCCTCCGTACCAACCACCTAGCACCTTCCATCAGCCACAGCCTCTCAGCCCGGCTTGCCCTGAGGGCTGTAGTGAACAGTCAGAGCTGGCTGTGCCTGGTGCCAGACTCTCTCACTTGCTATGTGACTTTGGACAAGCAACTCAACCTGTCTCAACCTCATTTTCTTCATGGGTGAATGGGGCTTAGGGTTATTGCAAGGTAAGTGTGTGTAAATCACTTGCAATAGTTTTGGGTGCTTAGTACCTGCTCAGTTACTATTGGCTGTGACTGTCGTTGTTGCTGTTGTTAGTGGGCAGTGGTTGGGGTGGGTGGGCAAATGCTGGACCTGTCAGAGGTTGCGTGGGCCACTTCCCCTCTCGTCCTGCAGAGGTGCAGCTGAAGCCCAAGCACCTGCCCTACAAGCTGGGCCGCCAGTGGCCGGAGCTGCTGCTGCGCTTCACTGACGCGCCGGATGACGATGTGGCCGTGGGTCAGTGCTGCTGCCTGCCCGTCCCTGCCTCGGGCCCACCTGAGTCTGGAGTGCTGCCTCCCAGCCCAGCCAGGCTGCCACTGGCAGGTGGCACTGCCCTGGCTGAGGGGCAGGGCCTGCATCTCCCCCAGGTTCCCTCAGCCAACCCCGGCAAGGGAGGAACAGGTCCCTGAGCCCCAGGGAGGTGGGTGGGGAGGGCAGCGAGCACACTGAGACTCTCTGGATGGCCCTTGAGTTTTCACTCATGGTGGGTGAGGCAAGAATGGGGTCCAGGCCCGTCAGGGGAGAGGGCAGGGCTGGGCCGAGCGGGGTGGCCAGGCAGTGACCCCCACCTCTGTCCCCCCACCTCTGTCCCCAGATGAGCCTTCCCTGCAGTTCCGAAGGAACGTGTTCTTCCCAAAGCGGCGGGAGCTCCAGGTGAGGCAGCACCCAGGTCTGGCCCATGTGCCCACCCTCCTGTCCCTAGACCCCTGAACATTCATGCCTGACCCTCGCCCAGCTGAGCAGCCTCTCCCTGCTGCACCGGCCCACAGATCCAGGATGAGGAGGTCCTGCGGCTGCTCTATGAGGAAGCCAAGGGCAACGTGCTGGCCGCACGGTACCCATGTGACGTGGAAGACTGCGAGGCGCTGGGCGCCCTCGTGTGCCGCGTGCAGCTTGGGCCATACCAGCCCGGCCAGCCTGCAGCCTGCACCCTGAGGTGAGCAGCCGTGTGACCTGAGGCAGGGGCACGGGGTGGGGGGAGGGTGCCCCCAGAATCCTACTTACAATGGATCTTAGGTCTGCAAGGTGGGGAGACAGTCCTGGAGTCAGGAGGCCTCGGTCCACACACACTCACTGGGTGGCCTTGGGGTAGTCACTCCACCTCTCTGAGCCTCCTCTTCCTCGTCTGCTCTGGGCAGTGGGAGACTCGGGTGAAGTGACGTCTGTGAGAGGAGTCCATAGCCCAAGGGGCCCCAGATGTGAGTGAGGGTGGAGCCCAACCTGCAGCTTGTTCTTTTGGAGTCACAGCCAGGCACCAAACAAAACTGGCCTCTAGTCACCAGTGACAGTCCAGCTTAGTTCCGAACTGCAGGGATGGGGCCGGTCCCCAGATGCTCGGCATGCCTGCTCTCTGCTTCCCACCCTCTCTCAAGAAGCCGTGTTCTCTGCTGTGTGAACTAGCAGGGCCTCGGGGGGCAGGAGGATTGAGCCTGCCCTGGCTGCAGACCAGGCCGGTTTCTGACCCCACGGAGGACGATCCTGAGGTTTAGAAATAATTCTAAACATAAACGTGCAGCCCAGCCTGTTCCTAGCCAGGGCTCCTCCACCCCGCGACCCTGCAATGTGTGGATGAGTCAGGAGAGAGCCGTGCCGAGTCAGGGACCCTGTGCTGGGGGACTGACAGCTGGAGCCCAGCAGGGACACCCTGGGCTCAGAGCCCAGCCTGAGGGCTCCCAGCAGAGTGGGCTCAAGGTTACTGGCCCCCACGGTGTGTGTTTGTTCCTCTTGCAAGTGACAAAACCAGCTCAAACTGTTTGGATGAAGGGTACTTTGTCACCTGGTGTAACAGACAGGTCCAGGGTGGTAAAGTGCCCCTGTCTGAGCCCAATGCTGGGGTCTGGCTGGGCCCCAGGCCCCTGTTCTCAGCTGTGTCTTCTGGGTAGCAGTGGCATGTTGGGGAGGAGGGGCCCCAACATGTCCCTTACATGACCAGACTTGCTCTGATGACCAAGGCTTGGTTCCAGCCCCACCCAAAGGAAATGCCGTCAGTGGCCAGGCCAGTGATGGGCTGCAGCCCAGCCCCTCCTCTGGGTCTCACCATGAACCTGCACTGACCCGTGGTCCGAGAGTGGGGAAGGTTGGCTTTCCATGTGACAAGTGGGAGCTGTTGCTGGAAGAAGGGGCGGGAGGTGGACAGACAATAGAAATGCCCACAGCAGCCCTAAGATGGGTGGGCATCCCCCTGGAGCCCCTCTTCTTCACCTGGGCCCTGCTGCCGGACCAGCCCCCCTTGCCTAGTACCCTATGGGGTTTGGTGCGCTGGAAGCCCAGCAGGGACCCCTCCCCTCTTCCGCGAAAACAGCGATTGCAGTGAGACTTGCCCAGTGTTCACCTTGTGTCGGGCACACACTAGCAGCCTTCTGTGCAGGTTGGACCAGTGTCCTTGTGTTACACATGGGACGCTGAGCCCCAGAAGCCTCAAGACTGTGGTTTACGGGAACGCTGGGCTGGGCCCGCGCGATCTCTGGCTGCCTGAGGCGGGAGCCTCTGCAGCTGCGCCGTGTGCGGAGGACGCTTTCTTTCCAGACCTGTGCTGATTACGGGTTTGCACGTCTTATCTGACAGAACAAAGTGTTGCGAGTGTCGGGCCATTTGCACCAGTTTTGGGTTGTAAAAGTTCCACCAGGTCAGAAATCCCAGCCATCCCAATGCAGACCCAGGTGTTGCTCAGGAACCTCCTGCCGTGGGCTGGTTGTGGGCAGGGGCTGCCTTCAGCTCTTGTCTCGGCCTCCTGACCTTCCCTTCAGCCTCTCCCCCTGCCAGGAAGCTGCAGTCCTGGGCCTGTCGCCGGGGCCTTCCTTCCACTCCCTTGGCCATCCTGAGCACCCGTGTGCCCCTCGAACGACGGGTTGGGGGGCCTCCTCCACAATGCCTGGACACACCTGATGTGTGTCCTTCCCTCCTGGGGGTGAAGATGGCTTGGTGACTCCCTGTGTCTGTCCTTTCTGCCACCTCAGAGGTGTTCCTGTGAGTTTCCTGGGTGGGCACATGGTGGCTGGCAGGGAGGAAGGCAGGGCCAGGCCCCTTGGTACTGAGGGGATGCAGTGCAGAGGCCATCGGCTGAGGTGGGAGTGGAGGGAAACGCAGGAGGCAGGGCCGAGTGCCGGCGCCTGGAGCAGCAGGACAGAGTGCATGGCTTTAGATGGTGACCCTGGGCTGGGCAGGCAGAAGGACAGCCCCAGTGGGCTTCATTGGGCTCCCACCCCAGTCCTAGGCCTGCGCTTGAAGAGCCTTGTCATGTTTTAGGGTTGAGGGAACTCTACCTGGACAGGTGGGGGCGTTACCATCCCTGCTCTGCAGAGGATGCAGGCACTGGACCAAGGGCACCTCTGGCCAGTCATATGGCTGGTTGGGGCAGAGGCAGAGTCTGGCCCTGGCCTGCCCTTCGGAGAGGGGCCAAGATCTGAACCCACTTGTGTGTGTGTGTGTGTGTGTGTGTGTGTGTGTGTGTTTAATTTCAGGGTATTATGAGGGTACAAACATTTTGGTTACATTTTATGTCTTTGCCTCACCCAAGTGAGGGTTAGAGGCATGCCCTTCCCCTCTACAATGTTCACCGTGTCCTTTAGTTGTGAGTTTACCTCCCCTCCCCCCTCCCCCCAATCCCTGGAGACTATTACTACCATGTGAGCACCACAGTGTTAATCAGTTAGTGCCAATTTGATGGCGAGTACAAGTGGAGCCCATTCTTCCGATCTTGTGATACCTCACTTCAGATAATGTGAACCCACCTGTGTCTTGTGCCCAGACACCCTCCCCCCGCCCCCCGCCCCCCGACAAGGCCCCTTACCCAGTCTCTGGCTTAGAAGTAGCTTGTGTGTCCCCTTCCTCCAGGCAGCCATGCTCCCTGCCCCCGCTGTCTTCCTCTGCGGGAGAGCTGCCCACCCCAGCTCAAGAGTGCTCCCTGAACACGGCTGGGCTAGCCCACCAGATGGAGGCAGTGGGGGTCTCTCTGGTGGTTGGTGGTCAGTGTCCAGGGTGGGGGAGGGCACTAATGTGCTCTCATGCTCCGTGGGTCCCCAAGCCAGGCCCCTCTCCTCCCCTCCCCTGTGAGTGTGCAACCTCCAGCTGGGCCACCAGCACCCACCTTCCTTCCTCTGCAGGGAGAAGCTGGACTCCTTCCTCCCTGCCCACCTCTGCAAGCGGGGCCAGGGGCTCTTTGCTGCCTTCCGAGGCCGTGGGGCCAAGGCTGGGCCAGGCGAGCAGGGCCTGCTGAACGCCTACCGCCAGGTGAAGGAAACAGTTGGCAGTGACGGCGGGTGCGAGGCCACCCTGGGCACACACTACCGTGCCTACCTCCTCAAGTGCCACGAGCTGCCCTTCTACGGGTGAGCAGCCACAGCCTTGGGGTCCCCTCTGCCCACTGCCCTGCAGCCCAGCAGCTGTCCTGCCTTTGTTAGCTCAGCGCCAGCAAGCGCATCTCTGCTCCAGCTGAGCTCTGTCCTCCCGCTGAAGCTGTGTCTCGACACCAGCACCTTAGGCCCCACTGGTCCCCTGCTGGACACCTGTCCTTCCCTCCCCCCATCATCGGCCAGGGCACCGGGGACGGATTCTTTCCTTCCACCTGCCACAGTCACTTGGTCACTGGCCTGGCCAACCTTCCCTTCAGTTCAGCCAGCCCTCTCTCGCATGGTCAGCGTCTAGCAGATAGCTCTCCACACCTACTGTGTGCTGGGCAGTCTCTGGGCACTGGAGGTCCCTTGGTGAGCCAAAGACACCGTGCCCCTACCTGGTTAAGCTGCCGTTCTCGTGGAGAGAGACGAGAACATGGAGGTAGAGGACAGCCTACAGGCAGGTGGCAGCGGCTATCAGCTTAGCCTGGGGGATAGAAGTCTTCTAGAAGGGGGGCTGGAGTGGGACCACCCACAGGATGGCCATGCTCGTCTCAGCCCCGTTCCTCCGCGTGGAGAGCGGGATGTAACTCGGCTCTGGCATGGCCGGGGGGAGGGTGCGTTGTAGGGAGGGGAGGACGTGGGCCCTCTAGGTTGGTGCCCCAAGGCCACTGCCCCTCCTTTTCTCAGTTTTGAGCACTGACCACCCTCCCACCCCCACCTGCAGCCATCCGCTGCTCCCTGGCAGGTCCCTGCGGTGGCTGAAGAGTCTTTGCCCCGACAGTGGGCAGTGGGGCCCTCCTGCCCTGACGTGGCCAGCCCTTCCACAGCACAAGTGCCCAAGCAAACCTGACTCGCCCTGCCCCGCTTGGGGACCACGCTCTTCCCTGTGTGTGCAGCACCCACCTTCTCTGCGCCATCTGGCCCTTCTGCCCGTCCACCCACCGCCCCATGAAGCTCCTCTCACGGCCCTTGGTTTCTCCCTCCCCGGGGCCGGTTGCTGTTTAGTCTTCAGTCGCCCACACAGCTTAAGCTGCTCAGGGGCCCAGAGCAGGCCTCTCCTTGCATTTTCTGCTGGAGCAGGAAGGCTGACGCCAGGCCCCTCCTCAGGTGTGCCTTCTTCCATGGCGAGGTTGACAAGCCGGCCCAGGGCTTTTTGCACCGAGGTGGGCGCAAGCCAGTGGCTGTGGCCATCAGTCTGGAGGGCGTGCATGTCATCGACAGCAGGGAGAAGGTACCTCCTCCAGGGTGGAGACAAGGGGTTGGGAGTCCTCACCTAGGCCTTCCTGGTTCCCCTGGGCCTGTGGGTGGCCTGGGTGGGGGTAGGGTGGGGGGACTGTTGGGGAGGGACTCTGCCTTGCTCAGATACCCTCGGGGCTCCTGCTGTCCTCCTGAGGGCATCCCTGGGTCTGCCCTGGATCAGCGTTCTAGGCCAGTGTGCCAGGCTGCAGGGTGGCCAGGGTGGAGGACGCCGCAGCTGGCATTTCTGCCTGGCGAACAGCTTGGTTTTCCAGAAAGACCCCACAACTGGCAGCCGTCCTGGGCTGACCAAGTCCTCTTCTCCCTGCATTCGGCGGCTGGCCCTGGGTAGAAGGTTGTGTCGACAGCCAACCCTGTGGGGCAGCTTCCCCGCACCTAGGCAGCAGTCCCCTCCTAAGCCAGGAGTTTTAGCGGACTTCTGGTTGTCCCTGGAGAGGGACTCCAGGTCCTCCCGGGCAGCTGTGCCTTGCAAGCCAGTTCAACTCAGCCTTCTGCCTAGATGCTACCCAGCCAACCTCATGGCAGAGACTTCCCTGCCCCACCTGCCTCTTCCCCCGAGTGACTCCCCAGCTGGCAGGGGCTCAGCCCACGGTGGGAAGTGTAGGATAGGAGTTCTCAGCCTCCCTGGACCACAGTCCCTGGGAGGATCTGATGAAAGCCGGGGCTCCTCTCCTTAGAGAAGCACATGAACCAGCATAGACTTGGTCTTGGAGAGGCAAACACCCTGGCCAGGTGTCCCCTCCTGGTGGAGCCCAAATGGGATGGGATGGGGAGCAGGCCTCTGTCCCAGGGTCCAAGCCTTGCTCTGCATCTCCCGCTGGCCAGCACGTCCTGCTGGGCCTGCGCTTCCAGGAGCTGTCGTGGGACCACACCTCCCCTGAGGAGGAGGAGCCCGTCCTGTGGCTGGAATTCGATGGGGACAGTGAGGGCATGCCAGTCAACAAGCTCCTCAAGATCTACTCCAAGCAGGTAGCGTGGGCGTGGCCTGCCCCAGGGCAGGGGAGGCTGGGCCCAGGTGCCCAGGGGGCCCAGACCCTTGGAGGCTCCAGGCTGCCTGGGAAGGAGGTAAGAGCGTGGGAGGGGCACAGGGCGCCTGACTTCTGCTGACCTGGAGCCGCCCTGGTGAGTTTGGGAGGCCTGGTCTGTAGATCCCGTGCCAGGTGGCAGTAGCTGCGGGGTTGGGGGGGAAGCAGCTTGCCCAGCACTGTGACCTGCTTGCACCCTCCCCTCCAGCCCTAGAGGCCCCTTGAGGCCGGTGCTGTTGTGGTTCTCACTCACAAGAGGAACAGGTGAAGGGTCAGGGCCCCTCAGTGCTTTTGTCTGACTTTCCCATTCATTCCAGCACCGGATCTTCCACCAGCCTTGTTCCCTGCCCTTGCTCTGGTCACATCAGAGCTGTTCTCTTCTCTGGCACATAGACACGCTCCTGGGACTCCGGTGCCCAAACACACCCATCCCCCCGCCCGCCAGCCCCACAGCTTCTGGGTCTCTAGACCCTTCATTGCCCATTGCTCCTGGCTCCCTTTCGGTGCCTGCCACCCTCACCCCTGCGCTCCCCACACGGCTCCAAGCTGAAGCTTTGCCGCACCCAGAGGGGTCTCTCTCCCTCCCCTCCGCATCTCAGCTTGACCACGCTCCCTGGAAATGCCTGTCCCTCTCCTGGAAATGTCTATCCTGCCTCTCCTTTTCTCTCCTGGCCCCTGTGGCTCCCACCTTGTTGATTGTCTCCCCACTCTCTCTCCTGGCCCTCCACCCTCCTCCCCTCCTCTCCGTTTGCTCAGTCCATGAGCTCTTCCCTCTCATGGGCTTTGAACTTTTATGCTCATGAGTTCACATCACTCGTCTAGACCTCTTTTTGTTAAGTAAATGTGTTATTGAACTGCAAAATACATACAAAAAGTACCCAGATCCTAAGTGTATAGCTCAAACAAATGTATGTAACACCTTCCAGATTTAGAAATGGAACACACCCCAGGAGACCCCCAGAGCCTCTCCCAGTCACTGCTTCCCACTGGGGGACCTACTGTCCTGTTGTCTGTCACCCTAGAGTTGTCCTGCGCATTTTGACCCTCATAGAAGTGGATTCCTACAGCATGTACTCTTTCTGTGCGTGTGTTTGTGAGATTCACCCTGTTGCAGGTAGTAGCAGTTTGTTCTTTCACGTTGCTGTGGTGTTCCAGTGTATGAATTTGCCGGTACAGTCGTGTGTCACTGAACGACAGGAATACATTCCGAGGAATACGTCATTAGGAGATTTCACTGTGCAGACATCACTGAGTGTACTTGCACAAGCCCCGGTGGTACAGCCCACACACACCTAGGCTGTCTGGTGTCGCCTGCTGTTCCCGGGCTACAAGCCTGTACAGCATGTCACTGTGCTCAATACTGGAGGCAATTCTAACACAGTGGGAAGTATTTGTGCATCTAAACACAAAAAGGTACAGTAAAAATATAGTGTAAAAGATAAAAAACGGTACACCCGTATAGGGCACTTCTTGGAGCTTATGGGACCGGAGGTTGCTCTGGGTGAGTGGTGAGTGAATGCGAAGGCCTCGGACGTCACTGCACACTGCCGTAGACGGTGTGAGCACTGTGTGCTTAGGCTGCACTAAATTCATACAAAAATATTTTTCGTTCTTCAATAATAAGTTAACCTTAGCTTACTATAACTTTTTTTAAATCCCCAAACTATAATGCTTCATTACTATAACTTTTTTACTTTATAAACTATTTAATTTTTTTTAACTTTTTGACTCTTGCAATAACACTTAAAACATATACACATTGCATAGCTGTACTTTCTTTATGTCTTTATAATAGTTTTCAATTGAAACTTTTTTTTTTCCTTTTTTAATTTTTTTTTTTACCCAAAAAGGCCAGGCACGGTGCACACCTGTAATCGCAGCACTTTGGGAGGCTGAGGTGGGAGGATCGCTTGAGCCCAGGAGCTTAGGATCCTCCTGGGCAACATAGACCCCGTCTCCACAAAACATAAACAATTAACCAGGTGCGGTGGCACGTGCCTGTAGTCCCAGCTACTCGGGAGGCTTAAGTGGGAGGATCACTTGAGCCCAGGAATTTGAGATTGCAGTGAACTATAATCCTGCCACCGTACTCTAGCCTGGGCGATAGAGTAAGACTCTGTCTCTAATAGAACAAAAACAAAGCAAAAAACTAATAAACAAACACACATTAGTCTAGGCCTACACAGGGTCAGATCATCAATATCACTGTCTTCTATCTCCACATCTTGTCCCACTGGAAGGTCTTCAAGGGCAATAACACCACGAAGCTGTCATCTCCTATGGTAACAATGCCTTCTTCTGGAATAACCTCCTGAAGGACCTGCCTGAGCTAACTTTTATAGATATAGATAACTTTTCTATATAGATAACTTTTTCTTCTGTAAGTAGAAGGAGTGCACTCTCAAATAATGATAAAAAGTATAGTATGGTAAATATATAAACCACTAACATAGCTGTTTATTATCATTATCAAGTATTATTTACTATACATAATTGTATGTGCTACACTTTTACATGGTGGGTAGCACAGTAGGTTTGTGTATATCAGCATCACCACAAACACTTGAGTAATGCGTTGTGTTACGATGGCAGCGACACTAGGTGACAGGAATTTTCAGCTCCATTATATAATCTCATGGGACCACAATCATATATGTGGTCCGTTGTTGGCCGAAACATGTGGCACGTAATTGTATTTATTTTTCCATTCTATTGCTGATGGACAGTTGGGTTTCCAGGGTGGAGCTATTGCAAACAGTGTTGCTGTGGTCACTGTGGTGCATATCTTTTGTGCACTAGATGGGAATACGCCTGGGAGAGGAATTGCTGGGTCAGACGGTAGCATGTGTTCAGCTTTAGATTCTGCCAGTTTTCCAAAGAGGCTGTAGTAGTCTGTACTCGCCAGCAGCATGTCACCCCATGTCTTCCCCAACGTTCAGTATGGTCAGACTTTTAATTTTAGCCATTCTGTTGGGTGAATAGTCCTTATGGGTTTTTTTCTTTTTATTTTTTAATCAACTTTATCGAGGTATAATTTACAATAAAATGCACTCATTTTAAGGATGAGTTTTGACAACTTTATACACCCTTGTAACTGCCACCACGGCCCATATATCAGCTTGTTTGCTATCCAGGTATCTTCCTTGGTGAAATGTCTACTGAAATCTTATGCCCTTTTTTTATTGGCATTATTTCAGTCACCCCAGAAACTTCCTTACAGTTTTAATTTGCTTTTTCCTCCTGGCTAATAAGGTTGAGCTCCTTTTCAGGTCTTTATTCACCATTTGGATAGCTTCGTTGGTGAAGTACCTGTTAAAATTTTTTGCCAGTTTGGTTTTTTTTTTCTTTTTTGTTTTTGAGACAGAGTCTTACTCTGGCACACCAGGTAGGGTGCCATGGCATCATCATAGCTCACTGCAACCTCAAACTCCTGGGCTCAAGCAATCCTCCTGCCTCAGCCTCCTGAGTAGCTGGGACTAGCCTCGCACTACTAAGTCTGGCTAATTTTTCCTATTTTTAGTAGAGATGGGGGTCTCACTCTTGCTCATGCTGGTCTTGAACTCCTGAACTCAAGTGACCCTTCCTTCTCAGCCTCCCAGAGTGCTAGGATTATAGGTGTGAACCACTGCAGCTGGCCAAGTTTTGGGTTTTTATGAATAGAACTGCTCTAAACATTTGTGTCCAGGTTTTTATGTGGAAATAGGTCTTCATTTCCTTTGTATAAAAACCTAGGAGTGATACTGCTGGATTGCATAGTAAATGTATGACTTTTTTAGAAACTGCGAAACTGTTTCCAAAGTGACTATACTATATTACATTCCTACCAGTATGAGAGTTCCAGTTGCTCTACATCCCTGCCAGCACTTGGTATTGTCAGTTTTTGTCTGTCACTCTAGTAAGGTATAGTCGTGATATGTCATTGTGGTTTTAATTAGCATTTTCCTAATGACTAATGTTCATCATGTTTTCATGTGCTTATTAATTGCTATCCATAGATCTTTAGTGTAGTGTCTTTTCAAATCATTTGTCCATTTTTTAAATTGGGTTGTTTGTTTTCTTTGTGAGAGATCGTTATATATTCTGTATACCAGTCCTTTATCAGATACATGTTTCACACATGTTTTCCTTCAGTCTGTAACTTGACTTCATGGTCTTAACATTGTCTTTTTTTTTTTTTTTTTTTTTTTGAGACAGAGTCTCACTCTGTTGCCCAGGCTAGAGTGCCGTGTTGTCAGCCTAGCTCACAGCAACCTCAGACTCCTGAGTTCAAGCGATCCTCCTGCCTCAGCCTCCAGAGTAGCTGGGACTACAGGCGTGTGCCACTATGCCCGGCTAATTTTTTTCTATTTTTAGTTGTTTGGCCAATTTATTTCTATTTTTAATAGAGACGGGGGTCTCACTCTTGCTCAGGCTGGACTCGAACTCCTGACCTCTAGCAATCCACCCGCCTCAGCCTCCCAGAGTGCTAGGATTACAGGCATAAGCCACCGCGCCCGGCCTTAACATTGTCTTTTGAAGAGATGTCTTTAACTTTGATAAAATCCATTTTATCAATTTTTTCTTTGTGCTTTCTGTTTCCTAAGAAATTGTTGCCTAACCTAAGATCAAGTCTATGATCCATCTCAAGTTAATATTTTATCTAAAATGTGATATATAGGTCAAGATTCATTTTTGTACTTACAGATACCCAGTTGTTCCAGTGTCTTTTATTGAAAAGACATATGCTTGCATCTTTGTTGAAAATCAGTTGGCCATGTATGCGTGGGTCTATTTCTGGATTCTCAGTTCTAAGCTATTGATCTATGTGTTTGTCTTTCACTAATAATCACACTATTTTTTTTTTTTTTTGAGACAGAGTCTCTCCCTGTTGCCCTGGCTAGAGTGCCACGGCGTCAGTCAGCCTAGCTCACAGCAACGTCAAACTCGTGGGCTCAAGAGACCCTCCTGCCTCAGCCTCCTGAGTGGCTGGGACTACAGGCGTACCACCACATCTGGCTAATTATTTCTATTTTTAGTTGTCTGGCTAATTTCTTTCTGTTTTTAGTAGAGACAGGGTCTCACTCTTGCTGAGGCTGGTCTCGAACTCTTGAGTTCAAGAGATCCTCCCACCTTAGCCTCCCAGAGTGCTAGGATTACAGGTGTGAGCCACTGCGCCTGGCCCACGCTATGTATTGATTACTAAACCTTTATAGTAAGTTTTGAAGTGGTGCGATTCCCAGAACTTTGTTCTTTTTCAAAATTGTTTCACCTATTCCAGTTCCTTTGCATTTCCAGATACATTTTAAAATCAGCTTGTTGATTTCTAACCCCCCCTCCAGCAAAACAAAATCCTGCCTAGGATCTTTATTAAGATTACATGGGTTACTTTGTAGAGAATTAACCCCTCAAGTCTTGTGATCCATTTATTTCTATATCTCCATTTACTTGTCTTTGATTTCTTTCATTAACATTTATAGTTTTCAGGATACAAATGTTGTACATCTTTTGTTAGATTTCTCCTTATTTCATTTTTTGGTGCTACTATAAATGGAACTACTTTTAACTTCAATTTCCAATAGTTCATTGCATTATATAGAAGTGCAATTGATTTTGTCATCCACATATCCTGCAACCTTGCTGAACTCCCTCGATAGTTTGGGAAGTTTTTCTGCAGATCCTTTGGGACTTCCCACGTAGACAGTTTTGTGGTCTGTGAACAGAGACAGTCGTGTCTCTTGCTTCCAATCTGTGCGCCTCTTGCTTGTCTTATCTGTGAACCCCCTTGGTGAAAGAAGGAGGTGCCACCTGGCCCCTGCCCTTCCTTCTGGGCCGGGCAGGGTTGCCCACCCTCCTGCCCTCCCCAGGAGCTGTGGTTCGCTGTAGAAGAGCAGGAGCTGGGCCAGTTTACCCGGGGCCACCCCTGGCATCTGACCCGGCCCCAGCAGTTGGGAGCACAGGTGGGCCTTCCTGCTGCATCTCAGGCCAGCAAGTGGGAGGCGCTCAGTAAATACTTGTTTCCTGACCAAGGGCCCTACTCTTGGACACCTTCTGTCTGTGACTCCCTCAGAGCCCTGAGGTCCCTGCCATGTGGTGCCCAGCTGTGCCCACTGACATCGGCCACTTCACCTTTCTGTCAGCATGCGTTGCATTTCCTATCTGTTGAGAAGGTGTCCCTTTTGAAGCATGTGCTCAGAGGGAGCCGCCCAGTCCCCCTGTGACATCACCATCCCCTTCCACGGAACCTACCAGTTCCTACAGGTTCTTCTCTCAGCCAGCACATGCGCCGTTCTTCAGCCCCCAACAGCCCACCCCGGCCCTGCTTCCTTCCCCTACCTCCCTCACCTGCTCCGGCCAAGGGGTGTCAGCCTTCCCGGGCTGTGCCTTCTGACTAGAATGTTCTTTCCTTCCCACCCCACCTCCCAGACCTGGGGATCCCTCCTCATCTATCAGGACTCACCTCTGAAGTCACCCCAAGTGGGATGCCTCCCCTGCCCCCCCAGTCCACAGAGCACCTGCCGCACCCCTCCCTCTCTCCTGCCGGGGTGGTGTGTGTTCCCAATCCTGCCTCCCCCCACACTGGGCAGGGCCTGTGCATCTGATTTCTCCGCTCGGCAGTGGACACAGAAGGCTGGGCCTGGCCGCCACTCGCCCTGCGGCCCTCACACTGGCCCCCCTTCCCCCCAGGCTGAACTGATGAGCGGCCTCATTGAGTACTGCATAGAGCTGAACCAGGCTGTGGAGCCTGCCGCCCCCCAGGAGAGCGTGCCCTGCCCCCCAGCAGCTCCCACCTCCTCGCCGCCCCCCACCCAGCGCCCCAAGCTTCGGAGGCAGGGCAGTGTGGTGTGCAGCCGCATCCAGCACCTCTCCACCATCGACTACGTGGAAGACGGTGAGCCACCCCGTGTGTACGTGCACACATGCACCCACACACACACACACACACTCTTGCATGGGGAGCTCCAAGGCAGGGAGTTGCAGAGCGATTCCAGACACGGGGTAAGTTGGCCTCTACCCAGCAGGACCTGGCTGAGAGCAGGGAGCTCAGGGTCTTGGCCAGAAGAGCCTTTTTCTGTCCCTTCTCACTGCTGCATCCACAGAGGGGTCACTGCAGCACCGTCGAGAATGTGAAAAACTGGACACTACCCAGTATCTGTTATTAAAGGTGTGGATAAGTCACCGCTGGGACCACATCCTGGAGAGTCCAGTGCGGTACCCTAAATGCAGTGTGGCATCTTGCATTGCATCCTGGAACAGAGGACATTTGTGAAAAAACTGGTGAAACCCAAAAGTCTGTAGTTAATAATATCCTACCAACATTCATTTCTTAGCTTTGACATGGTAACAGCAGACAGTAACGGTAGGAGGAGCCAGGTGAGGGAGTGCAGGTGTATCATCTTTATAGCTTGTCTGTAAATCTAGAATTATTCCAAAATAAAAAGGTTTTTTTACTGTAGTAATAAAGATCTACGTTTAAACAGCGAGATGTTCACAAAGCGATACTGAGCAGAAATAAGACAGCATGCCTACATCCACCTGCGTAAGGAGGGAGAGACCCCAGCATGGCAGTCCCTGTGACTTTTACTTTTTTCTCTGTACTTCTTTGTAGCATTTACATGTTTTACAACAAGCATCTCATTTCTGTAGTCTCTTACAATTTTTAAAATAATTTTTATAATCAGAAAAAGCATTTTCTGTGATGTAACTTTGACCACTGTGTGGCATTCCTTGGCATGGCTGCGGCACTGTCACTTTCACAGTCCTCTGTGGACATTACAGTTATTTCGTTTTCAGCTGTTATAAACCATATACGTGTAGCTAAACCTTACTTGGAATCTGAACTGTTTACTCAGGATGAGTTCCCGGAAGCAAACTCCTGGGTCTAAGGGTCCACCGGCCACCTTCCAGAGAGGTTGTGCCTGGTTGTCCCCTCTCAGCAGAGAAGGCGGCATCTGCCTTCTGCCCCCTCCCCTGCCACGGTGTGCCGGCTCTGAGGGAGAGAGCATGTCTGGGTGGCGTTTGACACCTAGTGGAGCTGAACCGTCGTTATGTGCTTGATCGTATGTGTATTTCCTTCATGAATTACTGTTCACTTCTTTTGCCCATTTTTCCTCTGTTACTTGATTTTTTAAAATTAGCATCTTATAGTAATAGGGTAGGTACTTTTTTTCCTTTTTTACAGTTAATGACCTGATATTGGTATGTTATTATTAACTAAAAGTCCACACTTTATTCAGATTTCCTCAGTGTTTCCCTAACGTCCTTCTGTCCCAGAGTCCTGTCCAGGACACCACATTACATGTGGTTGTCCTGTCTCCTTAGGGTCTTCCTGGCTGTGACAGTTTGTCAGACTTCCCTGGTTTTTGATGGCCCTGACAGATGTCAGCAGTGCTGGCCGAGTGTGTCATAGGACGCCCCTCTGCAGGGCTTTGCCTGCTGTTTCCCGTGGTTGCGCTGGGGGTGCGGGCCTGGGGCGGTGACGTGCCACGTGCATCACATCACAGCAAAGGGGCGCGTCCGTGTGGTTTATCATTGTCGGCGCTGACCTTGCTCACTGGCTGGACATTTTTAACTTGTAAGATTTCTTTTTATCTTACTAAGGCTCCCCTTCAGTCAGCTGTAGATGTTGCAGGTGTTTTGTTTCTTTGCTCTGTTCTTGAACAAGTTTCAGCAAGAGCTCCTCAGACACCACGGCTGGCCCAGCGTCAAGTGCAGACCTCCGCTCTGACTTGGGAGGTCGGCCACACGCCCGCCCAGCCCGTCACTAGCGGTAGAGCTGGGGGTGGGGGACTGAGGCTCAGAAAGATGGACGGCAGGTGTAGGGGGAGCTCAGTGTGAACAGGCCCTGGAAGGAGCCGTCCCGGAGCCAGAACCTAGCTGCCTGGGCCCGGGCCCCTCACTGGGGATGGCGCCTCTCAGTGTGTTCCTCCTCCTCCCTTCCAGGCAAGGGGATCAAGCGCGTGAAGCCAAAGCGCACCACATCCTTCTTCAGCCGGCAGCTGTCCATGGGCCAGGGAAGCTACACCGTGGTGCAGCCCACCGACAGCCTGGAGCAGGGCTGAGAGTGGCAGTGCCAGGCAGGAGGGCACGTGGGGCCCCTGGACCTGGCCCAGCACTGTCCTCCCCTAAAGGTTGTGCACAGCGGGGAGGGCTGCCTCAGCACTCAGGCTCTGCAGGTATTTCAGACCATGGAGAAGTGACTTCTGTGCCTGGGACCATACCTGGGCCTCCGAGGGTCCCGCCTGCATCCTGCTCTCCCTTCCCCTGGACTCTGGGCCCAGCTGCTCTCTCAGGACCATCCGGTCAGGCCCCTGTCGCCTCCTCCCACCCAGAGACACGCCTTTGTGCCCATCTCAAGATGGACGGTGTCCCTGCTCTGAAGTGCCTGTTGGCTGCTCTGATGGCAGGTGAGGGTTCTGTCTTGGGACCTCAGGCCCAGTGTGTGCCTTTGGTCTTTCCCCCTCAGACTCTGGGCAAAAAGACTCCCCGCCTGCCTTCTGCTGGCGTGCCACCCCCGCTGCCAGGGTGGGCGGCTGATCTGAGGAGGGCAGGAGAGGGCCTCCCTGGGTTGAACCATGGCAGAAACAAAGTGAGGGTCCCACCCTTTGTACCTCCCTGGCTGAATTCATTCTGGAAGGAGCCAGACAGGGCCCGAGCTGGGGGGACCCTGTGCCCCTCACTCTGGTCTCAAGCATGAGACACTCTGACCAGAAGGAAGGTGCCTTTTGTTAGCCTTTGGTGACATTGCTGTACTGGGAGGTGGCTGTCCTGTGGACCAACAGGCCCACAAGACCCATGTTTCTGTGAAAAGCTCCCCAAAACCCCCTTGGTGCTCCCCTGGGCCCAAGGGCTCCCCTCAGCAGACCCACGGAACCTGCCCTTTGCTCCCAGTGTCCTGAGTCTTCAGGGTTTAGTTTTGGTCTTTGTTCATCCGCTTTGGTTCCATGAAGTCTGTGAACTTTGAGGCAACTCAAGGAAACACCGTCATTTGCCTCGGAGCCGCTGGCTCTCTCTGAAGAGAGGGCACTGTGGGTTTCCCTGGGGGCCAGACTGTGAAGGCCCCAGCGACGCCAGTCTCTTCTTTCTTGAGGACGTTGGGAAACGTGGCTTGAATGTGGGTGCTTGGCTTCACTTCCCCCAGCTTTGCCCTCCTGGCAGCAGCAGCTCTGTCTCTTCCAAGATGAGCCCCCTCCCCCCAAGAGGAGGGCGTTCCCAGCCCTTGGGCCCCTCCATGGAGAGCAGATGGGTCTCATGGTTGCTTCCTGGGACTACCCACGGGAAAGAGGCAGACCAGCTCAGCACAGGGCTTTGCCTTGTGTTCCCTTCCCGGTGGGAGACCACAGAGAGGAGACATGAGCCTCTGGTGCTCCAGATCTAAGGGCCTGTTCACCTCCTCCCTTTGGTAACTTTGAACACTCCGGTTTTGAGGTGGGCTTGCCTTCCAGCAGCAGGGACTTTGTTATTTGTCATAATAAATAGACTGGGAGGTGTCCCCAGCCTTCTGGAATGTCCCGGCTGCAGGGTGGTGTCAGCTGCCACATCTCCTGGAGCTGCTGACCTCACTGGGCTGCCCAGCCCTTCTGCTTGGCTCCGGCTGTCTGGCTGTCTCGGTCCCTCTGAGTGCTGTGACTCCAGGTGAATCCTTATCTGACGGGCAGGCCAGGGTGTGTGGGGTGTGTGTCTGCACACGCCAGTTAAGTGTTCTTCCTCCTCAGCCTGTCTCTCTTATTTTGTAAGCATCCATTGTGCCTTAACCTTTCTGCCTGCCCTTTAGGACAAAGCAGTATTTTACTAAATGCCCTTTGAATGTTCTCATTCTTTTGTATCATGTGACTTCCTAATAATAAAATCAGTTGCTAGCAAACTGTGGGGTGGTTTATGATATGAAGTAATGAGGGTGTGTTGATAACAGCCCAGGAGTTGATGACAGGCTGCATATTTGGTTTTTATTAAACGTGGATCGAGGTATAGCCCTCAGGGCCGGCCAGGCTGGGTGCTGGTGGAGAACTCGGGGAAGCTTCTAATCTGGTGATTTGTCTGGGACTCCCAGGCTCGGGTGGTCCAGGAGGGCTCTGGGGTTCCCGTGGGAGCCAAGGGGGTAACTCAGATTCTCATGCCCTCCCTTGGGGCACCTCATGCCCCAGGCCTGGCGGGAGGCAGTTTGTTTCCCACAGGTCCTATTGTTAGCACCCAGCTTGGAGGGAAGGGACAGCACCAGACCTGCCCTGGCGTACTGGGCCCCAGGAAGCCGCCGCAGCAGCAGCAGTGACTGACACCGGGCTTTGGCCCTGCAGTGTGAGCACCGCCCAGGGCTTGGGGTTCACACTGTGAGTGTTTCCAGAGATGGAAGGATCAAGCCATGTCCCTGTGGCATCGTGGTCCTGGGACCAGGGCCTGCCTCCTCGGGTGTCCATGGCAATGAGTGGTACCTTGTCCCCGCTGTGGTCCTCTCCCTGGCTGGGGCAGCATGATGCCATGGCCATGGACACTTACACAAGGCACTGACTTGTGCCTCTCTGTTTGTTGACCTTTCAGAAGGGAGTAATGACAGTGGGCACCTAGTAGTTGTTGGGCAGCTTCAGTGTCTGGCATAGACTAGGCACTTCCAGGTGTTGGCTCTTTTCCTCATCTCGAAGTACTGTGTCTGGACAGCAGGTGGGAGCCCAGGGGCCACATGAGTGGCCAGGGCCTGCCAGCAGCACAGACACCCGCCCTCCTATGTCAGTTCCCTGGCTCTGCTGTGACACAGGACCATGGCCTTAGTGGTTAGAACAACATACATTCGTTGCCTCACGGTTCTGCAGGTCAGAAGTCTGACATGGGTCTCAGTGGCCCAGAATCAAGGTGTCTGTGGGCGGCATTCCTTCCTGAGGCCCAAGGGGAGAGCCGGTCCCTTGCCTCTTCTAGCTGCTAGAGGCCACCGCATTCCTTGGCTCACTTCAGAGCAAGAGAGGGCCATGGAGTCCTCAGGTCACACTCCAACCTCCCATCGTCACATCTCTGACTCTTCTGTGCCCTCTTCCCCTTTGAGGGACCTTCACGATTACACCAGGATAACCACGACGATCTCCATGTGAAAAGGCAGCTGATGAGCAGCCTTCATGCCTGTGGCATGTTCCCAGGCTCTGGGGTTAACGATGTGGACTTCTTGGGGGTTGTCCTGCCTACCACACCACCCCTTCTGCCTCTGCCCTCCCTGCGTGGGGCTCCAGGCCAGTGATGCCTGGACACTGTCCTCCTGGCTGCTGTCCTCCTTGGTCGCTCTGTGTCTCTGACCAGGAGTCGTGCTCCCTGGCCGGGCACCTGTCTCTGCAAAGGCTCAGGCTCCGAGGCTGACTCGAGGACCCTTCCCAGCCATGGAGGAGCTTCTGCTGCAGGCCAGCCCCTTCTGCAGCTTGCCCTGCCCGGGAGGCGGCCCCCAAGACCACTGCCCAGTTTCCGCTTCTAGCTGTCTAGTCATTTCAGGGCCTAAGTTCAGGACGTGTCTCCCCACCACACGTGGGCACACCATGTCAGTCATCAGCAGGTCCCCATAGAAGGGCCTGGTGCTCTCTGCGCCCACGCAACAGGCATAAAGTGAGGGCACTGTGCCCCACACCCCGGTTCTCCCGAGCCCAGTTCAGCCTTCACCGCTCAGTGCATGTGCTCCAGGTAAAGTGGCCCCTGGAAGCTGCCCATGTGGCCCAGAGAGATACCTGACAGATGGAGCTGGGAGAGGCTGGGTGCGTAGGGGAGGCCTCCCAGGATTCTGAGGGCCTGGAGCCCAGGATCCCAATTCCAGGCACCCTTGAGATGGCCAAACAGGGGACTGGGGGAGCCAGATCCCGGTGGAGAGCCCAGCTCTGTGTGGCTGGTCCCCTCCAGGTCCGCTCGCAGGTGACCTCCTGGTCTGATACCCTCTGCCCCTTTCTTCCACACTTGCATGCTGCCTGCATTATGGGGTGTCTTCTCACTGCCTCCCCCATGGCACCCCTCATTCAGTGCCCCGGTTTGCTTGTCCCTGTAAGGCCACCATGGTCAGAAACAACTGGCTGGAAGGTGAGGGCAGGTGAGAGCAGCACGGTCAACGGCAGCCCCTCCCTGACCCACCAGGAGGCTGACTCAAGTGGAACGAATGAAGTCAAGCTTCAGCCCCTCCCCTTGCCAGGACCCCCTTCCAAAGCCTTGCGAGGGCCCAGCAACGTATTTGGTGGTTTTGTAAAATTTGCAAAACATAGGGTTTTAAAAATTATTTTTTCTTAAAGAGGGCCCCTAAAAATAGGTTTCAGGCCCCAGAAGTCCTAGATTGGCCTCTGCGTACCACACATCCTGTAGTGAGCTGAGATGCTTTGAAGGGTTAATGAATAAAAAGGTATAATGCAATTATAGTTGCTAGGGAACTTTAATCAACGCTATTTGCTTCTGTACAAAGCTTGCGGTTAGCAATTGTTAAAATTCAGGGCCTGATTGCCCTACGCGAAGTATGTCAAGGGTTCAACTTATGATCAATATATAACTGGAAGAATGTTCTGTGTTTAATCTATAACTTAGATTGTGCTTTACTTCAAAGATTGTAATCTGTCTTTAGGCACCAGAGATCTGTGAGAA